ACTTTGTATAGAGCAAAATGGATTCAGAAAGTTTCGTTCATGCATAGAACATATTTTTACATTAACGACTGTGGCTAGAATACGAAAATATTTTAATATGGATACTTATTTCTGTTTCGTCGACTTCAAATGTGCATTTGATTCTGTAAATAGGGATCTATTGTTTCATAAAATGAAGATGAAAGGTATAAACGGAAAATGTTAGATATTATAATGACCCTGTATTCAAATGTAAAAGGTTGCATTAAACTAAATGACACAGAAACTGATTGGTTTGAGATGGAAAAGGGTATAAGACAAGGTGATAGCGTTTCATCGACCCTATTTTCTATCTATATCGATGATTTAAGTGAAAGTATTAACAACCTAAAATGTGGTGTACACATGGGTAATGAAGGCATGTTAAGCTTGTTAATGTATGCAGATGATGTTGTTTTGATATCGAGTAGTAAAGATGGTTTGCAAAAACAGATAGATACATTATATCGTTGGTCAAATACTTGGAAGTTGAAAATTAATACTGATAAAACCAAGGTGATGGTGGTATCAAAGAAGAAATATGAAAAGTTTAGAGTTCAAATATGGTAAATCTTCACTTGATGTAACAGATAAATATCACTATCTTGGTATAGATATTACTTATAACTTAGATTTTTTCTTAACTGCTGAAAAAGTAAGTTATTCTGGAAGTAAAGCGCTTGGAGCTATGAGGTCAAAGTACCTACAATTGAAAGGTTTACACTTTGATATTTACACAAAATTATATCACAGCACAGTCGCATCGGTAATGGATTATGCATCTGGAATCTGGGGTCTGCATAGAAAAACTCATAGTTTTACCAATAAAATACAATTTAATGCCATAAGGACCTTCTTGGGTGTCAGTAAAAAATGCCCTATCAGCTTTTTAGAAGGCGAGTGTGGATGGACCCCAAATTATATAAGACATTATATAGAAGGTATTCGATTATTGTATAGGTTAGTTGTTAATTGTGAAGAGGCCAATATGGCAAAGAAAGCATTTAGATGGGATTTAAGCTTAGCCAAATTGAAATGTGATTTTACCTGGAACGAAGAAATCCAGAGCATATGTAAAAGTGTTGACATGCTGAATATGTATGATGATATTAAAAAATGTAAAGATTTAAAAAGATTTGTGAATCAAATGAAAGGAAAATTAATGAAATTACATGAAACTCAATGGTTGGAGACAGTTAGGGAAAAAAGAAAATTGACTTTTTATAAGAGCTTTAAATTATCTTTTCAAAGGTCTGAATATATATTTTGTAATTTTTTGAGTAGAAAACAAAGATCTGTTTTAGCTAAATTTCGATCTGGCACTTTACCTTTAGAGATTGAAACGGGTAGGTGGCAGAATATACCAAGTCAAGAGAGATATTGTAGGCAATGTAAGAATGAAATAGGTGATGAGTTTCATTTTTTATTCAAGTGTAAAGTTAATCATAAATTAAGAGAGGAAATGTTTTGTAAAGTAAAAGGTATATATGATCTATTTGAGTCTTGTGATAATGAAAAGAAAACAATGTACTTATTGAATTCTAAATCACTCTGTAAATATGTTTCAAATTTTTTGCTTTTGTCTTTGGAGGCTAAAGATAGATTAAAGTAAATGTTAATTCTAACTTATCTGCTTATAATATGATTGTAATTGTGTCTCATAAGCCTTTGGAGGCTGGCCGTATAATTACGGGTGACACTGTAATAAATAAATAAATATAATTTCAGCCTTTCAAAAATGATGGCCAAATTCTAAGATGCCAATTTTGCATCTCTTGTCAGAAAATGAAAATGAAAATATTTTTGTTCTGAATAAGACATTTATTAATTTACTCCCACTAAATCATGATTCCCCATATGGCTTTTCACCATATGAAATAAACAGTTTCATATGTCACCGCTGTTTAACATGTGTTTAGGCATTTTACAAATCAATAACAAGATAGTTCTTGGATGCTGTGAAAATTTCATAAAAACCAGCTCACTAGATATCGTAATTTTGTTAAGAGTAAACTAAAATAAATTAACGTTTCGAATGCACATAATCATTCTGATTTGGAAAAGTTGACACATGAAATTGTCGATTGTTTAAATGATGCAGCAGACCTTGCGATACCTAAATCTCAATTTCACCACTTTTTGAATCCTTTTTGGAAATATGGTGCAGTTAAAAATCTTTATGTATCAATGCGACAGTTTAGACGCATTTGGATCTCCGCAGGACGACCAAGAAATCATAACAATGTAGCTTTAACACAATATAAAGATGCTAAACGTCTCTTTCGTGCAGAACTGCGGAAGGCTAAAATAAATTATGAACGTAATCTTGATTCTAAATTTGACAAAGCTGCTGAGCTCAACATAAATGATTTCTATCGTCTGGTTAGGAAATCCAGAAAACGTAAAACAAATTCGCACGAATTACTAGTTGATGGAACACTAATTAGAGATCCATGTCTAATTAGGGACGCATGGGCAGATCATTTTGAGATGTTAGGGACTCCCAAACAGTTTCCACATTTTGATAATGACTTTATGCGAAATATTGAAACTGAGTTCCAACGCAATTACAAAGAATCATTTTCAAACCATGATACTACCTTAATTAATCCTATCGTTACTCAGGAAATACATGATATCATTGTACAGAGTCCTAATAACAAAGCTCCTGGTTTAGATATGGTAACTAATGAACATCTTAAAAACGGTGGTAGCATGTTAGTTAAGGTGATCACTGACCTATTCAATGCAATGATTAGGCTAGAATATGTCCCGCAAAACCCAAAAATTGGCGTCATTATTTCATTGTACAAGGGCAAGAAAAAAGATAAATTAATCAGGACAAACTATAGAGGACTTACACTCACCTCTGTTATTAACAAACTTTGGGATACTATTCTCTTGGAAAGGAATATGCATATCTTAAAATGTGCAAATGTTCCGCACAAATTGCAATTTGCCCATAATGGCGGGAGTCAAATGGCCACATTCGTTTTTAAAGAAATAGTAGCTCATTTCCAAGAGAGAAACTCTCCCATTTTCACAGCCATGCTTGATAATCTCCAAGCTTTTGACTTATTGTACAGAAATGGACTTTTTGTAAAATTATATAAACTGCAGGATTCCCCTTAGATAAATGTAAAAGTGCCATATTAATGTATGATTTGCATTTAAAACGATATGATGAAACACGTTGGCACCTTGGACGTGAATCCCTTCCAACTAGACACCAACAAATATACGTAGGCAATATCATTGACTCTAATACTCATGTAAGCTCTAAGGCAGCTATAACGGAAGCTTGTCTTAAAGCAACACGTACTTTTAACTCTTTGTGTTTTATTGGTATGAACCGTAATGGTCCCAACCCTTTAACTAGTGCCAAAATATGGAAAAATATTATAATGCCTTCTGCATTTTATGGGTGTGAACTTTGGTTCAATATTAAACAAAATGAAATGGAAAAGCTCGAGCGTGCTCAACGACAGGTTGCCAAAAGAATTCAAGGTTTCCCTATAAGAACACCTAGTGCTATAGTCTTGAGCACGCTTGGTCTATTGTTCGTTGAGAGTTACATCAATAAAATGAAATTCCTGTTTCTTGGCAGATTACTGAGAACTGATAATCTATATGTTCAAAAACAGATTTTACTAATTAGAATATCTAGCTTGCTGGTTAGAAACGTTTTACACCTCAAACAAATGGGCTTTTTGGCTGATATTCTGCAACTTAAAGATTCTTATCCTTTTTTATATACTGAGTTTGAACGTTATATTAAAACTACTGTTGTAATGCATAAATCCAAATGGAAAATGATAGTTAACGCACAAATCTTTTCAAAACAACAGCAATTATGGCAACAAATGCTGGATCAGGATGCCTCTCTATATCGCTTTAGAAATAGTCATACAATGTACGAACCAATAATACATTGGAAATTGGGAATTATTTATCCATCTCACACTTGGAAATTGGGACAGCTTTTATCCTTATTAATACTGAACTCAGAAACTGATAGATGCTGTCCTCTTTGCAATAGTGTGACGAATGACATCACAAAACATATATTATTACAGTGTCAAGTACTATTTCAAGAAAGAGATAATCTATTTAATGCTGTTGTTGATACATTAGGAGTTGTTGACTCAGTGGCGTTATTTAATACTGATGATGAGATATTTCTTGAAACTATTTTAGGTAGCAGAACAGATATGTTATTTGATTGTAATGATTGCATTTGGCAACAATTTTTAATAGTATCTGCGGTGAAAATAGATTATATTCTAAACCATGCTGTACTACATTTAAATATGTAAATACCTGGAATATTTGTAAATAATGTATATTTATTATTATTATTTTATTTGTCCTTAATTTTGAGTTAAGTTAAAATGTTAAATTGTAATCTTCATTTAATGGAGGAAATAAAGAATATACAATACAATACAATACAATACAATACAATACAATACAATACAATACAATACAATCTCTTGTCAGAAAATGAAAATGAAAATATTTTTGTTCTGAATAAGACATTTATTAATTTACTCCCACTAAATCATGATTCCCCATATGGCTTTTCACCATATGAAATAAACAGTTTCATATGTCACCGCTGTTTAACATGTGTTTAGGCATTTTACAAATCAATAACAAGATAGTTCTTGGATGCTGTGAAAATTTCATAAAAAAATTATCAAAAGCTTTTGAAATGAGAGCATTTTTCCGTGAACTTTTTGAACAACTTAGACAGTACTCTACCCTATTATATGAAAACGAATAAGTTCTAATCATTCTTGTTGTTGTAAGACATTCTCAATAAGATTCTGCAAGTTGTATTTCTCTGGCCCAAGGGGCTTCGGGAAATACGCCTTGCTAGAATCGTTGAAAGATGAACAGTACATGCGATTAAATCCACCGAATCAAGTCCAAGATCTGATGTGAGTGTGGCTGATTCATTCCACTCAGGCGTTATTCCCTGGATAGAAATAACACCTTTTGGAGGAATGATTCAATCCACATTGCTTAGAGTCCAGGGCTTGACTCCTTAATTCACACATAACTAGGCAAGGTGTGTCCGGTTCCAGCCAGTTTGAACACAGTATTTCATATATTTACACTGCACTGCAATGCATGAGTCCAGGGCGTAATTTATTATGTATTGTAGTAAATATGAATTGGACAAATCTTGTCTTGTTTCGTCAACACTGCATTTTGGTAAAGGCCGTGATGCAAACTTTAATTTTAAGTGCTGAGTCATTCGAGCTACCAATGCCATCTTGATCCATCGATGTTTTGATGAATGTATACAAATAATTTAATAAGTGTTCAGCTTCAGGAATTTGTCTTTAGAAATTGTCCAAGCTTCATATAACACGCCGAATAAGGTAGAGAGAAAAAGCAATAAACAATATTCTCAAGTTGCTCACTCGGGTGAAACAAACACGGGAGACTATTATTGCATGATGATTGCGGGGATCAAAATCCACCTCAGTAACGGTGAAATATCGGCCATAGCACTTGCCGCCGCTTTTATCTTCCGTTCTGTAGTTATTGAGGTCACCGTTGAACTCCTCGATCTCTCAAACCCCTTCACAACACATTCATCTCCAACTCTTGTCAAATTGCCATGACAACGCTTCAATTGGCATTGAAACGAGTCACCGGAACAGGAAAGCTCCACTTCAGCTATTTTCGTACTTGGCTGATCAGCGACAGTTCTTACGTTGATGGTGTCTCCTGTAACGTCCATTAGAATTTGAAACGAAAGTATCGTAAGATCTTTAAACGGGTCCTGCCTATTTCCGAATTGGACAAGTTGACATAGTTGAGGGTACGGTTGCCCTCTCGGTCTTCCGAACTGTTTATTACATTTCCAACAATAAAGGTTGTGATAAACATTCCAATCATCAATTGGGTCTAACCCGTAGGTATGGCAAAGTGCTGCCAGAGTTGTGTCCTCACAATATTCACACTCAAACTGAGTACTGATGCATGGACGTACCTGTGGGACGTTCTCAAACGTGTCCAACAAAGGTTCCAAATACTCGATTCTACACCCACGACCAAGTTCTATTGTATCTTCTATTAATCCCATAATGCTTAGAGTATTCAAGCTTCCAAGATTTAAACCGTTCAAGAAATCCTCATTTATGCATTCGATTTTCAGTCTCCAAGACAGCGCTGCATCAACGAAGTTACACTCGGCACAGTATTTATTCTTGTAATGTTCATTTTTAATGACATCGTAGCACGGAATTTTTGAATAGGGCTCATCTCCACTTAAGCATTTCTTCTCCAATGCAGAATTCTTATAGTCCGCATGACAACTTACTTTAAGGTACACCCGCACGACTCCCTGAACACGCCTGCATTGGTAATTTGCACGTTGTGTTTTATCAACAAAAACAGGCGCGCAACTATCATTTCCGATATCAATGAGGGTCTGGTTAGATTCGATGATACCTCTTTCAGTAGCGTTACAATTTTGACATTGGTACCCATAATCTCGGCAACAATCACCATAGTGCGAACATATTTCATCACAATGGCAGTAAAACTGCGTCGCATTTTCGATAGTCACTCTATCACCACATCGATCTCGGCAGGATCTTTCTGCATCACTACATTTAAAATCTGAAGCAGCCGAACTACAAACTTCTTCTTGTAATTCTCTTTTCTTTCTCAAAACATGGGAATAGACTCCCAATGTTATATCACGCAAAGATGATATACTGCGTTCTTCCAGACGTTTTCCTGAAAAACTTGTATTTTCTTCTGCATTTAAGTCCATATCGCGCTCAGATAGGATTTTCCTCTGAATTTTATCCATTATTTGATGACAGTAGCTCTGATAGCGGAATACAGATGGAATGAACACCATCCAAAAGACAAGGCTAGCGTTGGAGACAAATCGAAACATCGCGTTGTTCTTACCTCCTCGTCGGTTAGTAAGATTAATATTAAGACGACTAGAACATCTTATTGCATTGTTGGGGAGCGTATCAATAGGCTAAATTGTCATGATTAAGTCTAGTCTAGCTACGGGCCTTTGAGAACCCCCCCCCCCACTACTGGGGTGTCCACATTCTTGAAACTAGTCTACAGTAAGTCCAAACGCATTTTCCCGCTCCTCTACATTGTCAAACCCATTATATGGAAATACTTTAATTTTAAACAGATATCAATTCTACAAATCACCTACTCAAAAGATATTAGTATAAGAAAATACGAAAAGACTTCTCTTCTTTCTTTACTGAAAAAATGCACACAATTGTATAGTATTTACCAAGATATAGCGATTTCTTTGGGTTGCGTTTTTTGAACACCCTGTACTATACAAATTGGATAGATGCAGGATATATGCATGTAAAAGATTTCTTTAATGAAGAAGGTAATTTTAGAGATGAAAGACATGTTCAACGAACACTTAAAAATAGTAGGAATTGGATAATAGAATATATGAAAATTAAAAATGTTTAACAACATGTAACATACACCTAGAAAAGCAACACATGGAATGTAGAAATTTATAATTTATACAAACGTTTTTCTGTACAAAGAATGTGGCTTCAAAAATATAGAATTACTTAAGTCCAGCTTCTTTTATACGTTTTTAATAACTGAAAGGTTCGAAAATCAATAGCAGAAAATAATTGGAAAGAAATTTTTTATCAAGATATTAGCCAATCATATACCAGGAAGATCTATAAATTTAAAATCAAAAACATCGATTGCCAAAAATTGTCTGAAGAATTCAATTTCAAACTTCTACACAATATTCTACCTTGTGGTAATCTAGTGAGTAAATGGAACAGAAATGTTTATAAAACATGTATCGAATGTTATGTTGATCAAGATATTGAACGTTTAATTTTTAACTGTAAAATTGTAAAAACACATTTGTTCACCGAAAAATAAGCACGAAAATGCGGCAAAATAATGATCGGATTCTATTGTCTTGCCGATTTACTACTTGCCACAATCAACCTCATTGCTAAAATATCCAACCTGGCCTATTCTACCTCAAACTTTGCCCAACTACTATCAGCTAGATGTCCTTCAAAAATCAAGTTGTCATGGCTACCAAAGCCTTGTAGTTACCATGGCAACCTCGAAAATGGGGTTAAAAATGAGAGCAAAAAGCATCCAACCCTACTATAATGACACTAATATTATTTCAACTATTCAAAAATTAGATTGTGAAAATTCGGATTAAAGAAGGTGGTAAGCAATGGAGATAAATATTAATTATGTGGTAATTTCAGTTTGATAAATGATAGGTGGACAATATCATATTGTAGCTAAAGGGTAATAGGTAAAGTGTAGGTTAACTGACGGCGTCAACGCGGTAGCTTGGCGTCCGTCAACAGCAAATATTAGGTGGAGAACTTGTTTTTCTTATTGTATGTAACAGATAGTAGTAACTTGACGGCGTCAACGCGGTAGCCTGACGTCCGTCAACACCATGGATTGGTTGTAAATAAACATTTTAATTGTTTTTATTATTGTATGTGTCTTTTATATGTATTGTAATAATTAATTATTATTATCTCCAAAAATGGAGGCGAAATAAATATAAATATAATAAAATTCAAAGCTCTGGGGTCTTCCTCCTCTTGTTCTTCGTCTTTATTACTCATATTGAAGATATCTACATATTTTTACAAATCAGTTTGCTGATTTTTTGTATAATGCTGATAACACTAATAGTGCTTTTTGATGAGGAACTTGATCGACTTGACTATACAGTAATAAGTCTTATTTCATGTTCAACTTCAGTTTTAACATATATCTTTAAAATGTACTGGTACATTATCTGCACATGAAATTCAGGAATGTATCTGAATATATTAATTCGTCGTCAATTTGTATATCCCGAATTATGTATAGTATGTAGCATATTTACGAAAAAATTAATAAAGTGTCTGAAGCTATCAAATTGTAAACGCTGTAACAGTAATTAACACATACCAAAGGGAGAATTAATAGCGATATTTAATGGAAAGCGAAAATGGGTTAAATCCTGATTTCATCTCAAGTTAATCGTGCAATCAGCGAATTCATTTCCGCATGGTTATTAAACTGTATAGCTGATCATACATGATATTAGTTACATGGAATTTAATATAAATAAGGATGGGTTATATTTATTACAATGTGATTAGGAACCGAAACCTTTACTTTCTACTGTGTAAATCCATGTAATTAACTATATTTGAAGAGGCTCTGGACGATTCTAAACCCGGACGATTCCTTGGAATTAATTACATACATATATCACTGGCTCACGTGGATTACCCCTTTGCAAGATGGTAATATGCAGTTGATTTACAGCATGTGGGTGTGACAATAGTCCTAGAATCACATAACTCAGACAGTACCATACTTGACTCATGCTAAAACATGACTGGTTTATGGCAGATATATCATTCCTTAACCCAAATTATAACACACTTAAATACATTTATTTCTTTAAATCACACTTTAAATATCCTAATCATATATTTTTGAGACTACTTGATGATACCCCAACACCAAACGGTAAGAAATTTCAATAAATTCGGTTCATTCCTAGCTGAGAAATTGCTCGTAAAAGGATTAGCTTTGATTAGAAAAACTTGTGGTTTCAAATTCAATACGGTTGATATTGCAATGTCTAATGAGGGCTGTCGATGAATAATTAAACGTATTACGCTTATTTCTATTTGAGAATTTTTAGATGACGTAAGCCTTTATCTTGTAATATACTACATCCCTTCACTTTGAATCGTCCTGATCTAACAATTTTGATAAGCCAATAACTTCCATATGGGGTTTGTTGCGGTGGAAGCGTTTTCTTAATACCAACTTTTTAGTGAATTTCAGTGAGTCGATCCTCTTTACTCGAGTCTAGCCAATACTTGGCTAGAGGGGATTGCATCTGGAATACTGTGAACTCTATTTGAAAAAAGCTTGCCGGGGTGTCATAAATTTATTGAATATTTTAAAAATCGCCAGATAAATAAATCATTAATCAGACCGGACCCAGCTCGTCTCCTTGATGAGATATGACATGATTTCATCAGGATTTCGTCTGAAATTAAAACAAAATGGCTCCAAGAAAAATGGCGATGTTCGAAAACTGGACGAAATGTCGTTAACGTCTGACATTAGTAACTGGCTGTAAATTCTAAGTTAGCGATCCAGAAGATGTGAACTAATACACTGATCACTTTATGTGTGTTTTGGAATTTTGGGTGAGGTTATAAGACTAAAACTCGCAATTCAAATTGTGATGTGGAAAAATGGCGGACATATGATTTCAAATTTTATGATTACGACATGACCATTTGTTCATGCAGGAATATATCTGTACTGGAAGGCCACGATACAATGGCCTTAGAAGAAGGTAAGATCCTCTGTGTGTTTTTCGACAGAATCAATATTGGTCCGATTCTTTAGTACAGGGTGAGCCAAAAAAGGTAACGCGAACAAATGTTAATTGTTGATTTACAGCTTCAGATAAGTGTTATGACGATAGTCACAATTTTGGAGAGGAGTTGTGAGTTGGATATGATTGAGTCTATTTATTATCGTATGATTACATAATATCTACCCTTTGCATTCGCCCGTCGTGGGGGCGGGGCTACTAAACTGTAATATGGTTTCTACTAGGCAGAGTGTAGTTTAACTAGACTCTGCACGCAGGGTACATAATAGCGAAACGTAGATTATAATTTGAATGTCACAATCAAGTTTATTAACAAACTAATAATACGTATTTTGGTTACTTGTTCCATTCGGGGTTTCCATCATCTTGCACGCGTCAATCATCGGTAATTTCAACCTAATACAGAATGTTTACTGTTGCAGAAGAAGTATTGGAGATTTAATCCTCAATAACTAAAATATTTCATTTGATGACATACTAGAATTCTATGTACAGTCTTATACTATAAATAAAAAAGATTTTTACAAGCAAGTTGTAACTCAAATTCCCTCTTCAACAGTATTATAATTGATGTCCATTTCTGCCGTATCGCTCTGATTATGTTCATTCCCCTTTTAGACAGTTAAATAAATGACACTCTTCAAATAAATCACATGCAAAAGTTTGATAGCAAAAATACCGGTACCTGGTTCTCATTAAATGTTATTCATTTTAATTTCTTTTGTAAACATGGAGTATAATTTAATTAATATTTTGATAACCTTCAAGTCAGTTTGAATTTAATCATTTTAGATGCAAAGCCGTGAGAAGTACAACTTTAATAATATGGGATTATATGACTTTCTATTGATATTTCTTCTAATTGACATTTCATCTAACCTTCTTGTTGATATCAATTAACAGTTACGATGTGAATACTTTTTTGTTATCGGCACGTCTTAAGATAAACTTATCAATGTCTAGGGTATGTGTGTGTTTTTTTACGTTTGTGTCTATTTATAGTAGAGCATAATCAAAATAAGGATAATGTCAATTCTACATTAAAAGTCATAACCAACTTATAAAAACTTCTACACGTATTTGCGTTGCGTCTAGACACTCACAATGACTACACGTACATACATTGCAAGTTGCGCCATCATCTTACATGCATCGGTGGTACTTTCAAACCAAAATATCTCTACTGTAGCAGAAGATGTAGGGGGCACCTCATCAAACGCGACACAGAATGAGCCAAACATCCGCAACCATTCTTTGGTGCCATGTAGCTATACAATTGATCAAAGCTCAAAAAATAGTTTCATGGAATTGGTCAACGATAGAAACATTAACTTTATGTACATTAAAGTAAATTTTTCGCGGAGAATGGAGATAGCACGATTGAAGAAGCACCGGTTCTTTTCTCCTGGCTACCTTATATGGACATTTAAATCATCTCCAAAGGCAGGATATCCTTTACTTGGCTACCCATATGACGTCAAAATCCTCTCGCTTGGTTTCCTTACGTGGTACGTGTACGATCATCTGCAAGTTCATGTTGACGTTGCGCCAGAAAATTGCCACGCAGAATGGGGTGACGATGGTACGATGAAACGCCTACTTTCTACTCTGAGAGACTTGTCAAATCAGACGATACATGGAGAAACCACAGCGTGGTGTTACGGAATCAGATTCCAGTGGGACTGGATGAACAATCTCATCGTACATTGGATCCGAGTGGGTCGAGATTATACGGGATATATGTGCAGCACGTTGCCGGAAAGTCCGTTCCGTTTCAATGAGGTCATCAAACAGACTCGGTTCTTGTTCTTTCTGCAAGTATGTGGCGTGATTCTCCTTTGCTACAGCCCATTACTACTTTACATATTCGATACAAGTTTGGAGGGTAAGAAAGAAGACTGGCCATTTTATAGCTGCTTGAAACACGCGTTAATCGATGAAAGCGAAACGGACGTCAATGAAGAAGTTGGCGCAAGAGACACACAGGGCACAAGGCCTTCTGACAATATGCACGTTGAGAACGAAACGAGTGAAAATAAAACGACCAATGTTGATGGTGGAGAAATGGTCAGTGCTTATCAAAATGTCACCACAAGGTCTGAAGACAAAATTAAGGAAATCCATGATATGAAAGAGGATAAAACGAGGATAAAACAGGACAATGAACCCAATTATGGAGATGAAGAAGATGTCGGCACAAAGTCAGAAGACAATCTGAACTCTGAGAATAAGCATGATATCAATGAGAAGGAAACGGGTGATTTGGACAACAAGTCCATCAGTGTTAATGAAGAGGTCGGCACAAAGTCTGAAGGCAATATGAACTTTGACGATATCAATCAGGAACAAGAATGTGACAGTGACGAAGCTGCGGAATACTTTTTTCAAGGGGATGTACATATATCTTTTTTTGTGCTTTTGAATGGTTGTTTTGAAAAATTACAAAACTCTGGTGACTTTAAGTTGAAGTGGTTATTGAAACTTCTCTTTTTGATTTTCATCGTCCCGCTTGTCTTATATATCAAGATGATTGTATATTACTTCCTGTTGAGAGACCCTGTGCTCGCTCGAATGGAACAAGACATCCCCGTTGGATTTGTCGCGGTACCCTTTGGCTTTGAAGCTAGCAGAAGAAATTGGTCATATTTTATGGGTGGACCATATGTCATATATGGTGTGTTTTTCGTATTGGCAGGTATAGTACTTCTCTGTCTAAGTAATAAAATCGCGGACGTCCTTTGCGCTAATCTTAAATCTAGCAGACAAGAAAGAGAAAAATGGAAATGGGTAAACAATAGACTGGAGCCCGTTCTTCATGAGATATTTTTAAAACCCAGCGCATCTCATTTGCTCCAGTCTATAGATAATGCGGATATCGAGATCCTAGGTGGAATAGATTACATGAAACTAGATGACAGTTTTAAAAAATTCGCCAAAGCTTTGAAAGCACGACTGTTCATTTTATTCAACAAATATTTCTGGTTGCATTTTTTCAAGACTTGGAAAAAACGGTTCATGGTCATCAGGTTCTGTAAACCTCTGTGTATATCTAAACATATTGAATTTTGTTATTTGGAATTCACTTCTGTCTTTGGATGCCTTTCGTGGTCTTTGCAGTACATGGTCTTTATGATATGTCTCATATCATGGTCAGTGTTGTGCTTTTTGGGATCCATACTTGATTTGTTCTTATGTCTGATAATCTATGGTGTTCCCATTGTCTTTCTGTCAAAAAGTCTATTCGTAAATTTCCTTTTACTTAGTCTTGGTATTCTGCTTGACCTGAAATGTATGCGTGCCATACCTTGGTGTAAACTCCCCTTATACTTTTTTCTGATAATATTTTCTATTTTGACGGGCACAATTTACATCTATATCCTGTTCTGCTTATATAACATATACGGGTCATCTACCACATACATCTCACAGACTGTCGCTTTTACATTAATGGGTATTATCGCTCATCCAGCCGAGGCGTCCACATACATAGTCCTTGTTGCTGCCGTTGCTGCATACATACGGAAAGCAATTGATGATTACAATGTTATTTACAGTAATATCCTGGAGGAAACCATAATCATATCGAAAGCTTTACAAAAGTCCAAGAATCTAAGCTTTCCCCATGTGCAGTGGTTTAAATTTGATGAATTCCGAAACCCAGGGATCAAGAAATCATTATATTCCTTTCTGGTCGAAAAGCATCAGCCACTACGAGTTGAACATTTTCTTACGGTACTGTACCTTTGCATTGTAATCTCTTTCATCTGGTTGACTATATCTGTGGTTCAAACATATAATCAGTATTCCGAGTTAGATGGTGTCATACAGCTTGGATCATCTGTTGTTTTTGGCTTAATTCCCTTGCTTATCGGATGGTGTTTGCGTTCCAAATCAATTCGAACCGATAAAAAGTTTAAGACGAAACTACGAGAGAGCATTGTGGAATACTGGAGTAGGTACTGCCATGCGACTTCCAAATCAATTCGAACTGATGAACTGTTTAAGAAGAAACTACATGTACGACAGCGCATAAAGCAATACTGGAGTCTCTACTCCGATGCAACAGAGCAATATGAGAAACTCTGCCTTGACGAAATAAAGCAATACGGGAGGCCCTGTACTGACGAGATAGGGCAATACGGAAAGTTTTGTCCCGACGAGTCGGGGCAAAACGGGAGATTCTACCGATGCGAGATTGAACGATTTGGGAAAGCCAGCTCCTACAGGACAGACATTTTATATTGAATCTATCATTCGTCATAAATGACTCGAAAATGAATTCGCGCATTTTTGTAAGTGGAAAACAAGAGCAACTGATTGAAAGTTCAAAGGGATAAACTCTAAAATTGTATCATGTTAAATGGGTTTATATAATGTAACTCGTGTTAAATCAACGTTTTGTTGCTGTTAATTTTTCACTTTGAGACAAAAATGCAAATTTAGTGAAGTCCCCAAGTTTTAGAAAAGTTTTTACAACTACATTTGCTAAGCTTGTAAAATGTCATATTACTACCACATTAGCTAAAAGTATATATAATGTATCACATTCAAAATAAATGAAAAGATTAACGTTAAATCTGATCTTTTGCACTTATTGAGCTCAGGTAAATCCGTACACACGAAATACAATGTAGAAATGTTCCATTTTGCTACTTTTTTTCGAAAGTGTCCTTCGTTTTTCTTTTTTTCTCCAGTTTTCTCTTTATTTTCCTAATTTGATGCGGTCGCATTTACAATAATACTGTTATATTTTAAAATTAACACACTAGACGTAGTTTTAGACGCTCTTGCGATCTAGGGAGGTGGGAACATTCAATAACTAGTCTTACAATAACTAGATTTACAAAATAATTTAAATTTAATGATTCTACATATATTGTCTCAGAATATAGCGTTATGATATAATTTATTTGTTCTGATGTCCTAGGGCCAAACGTTCAAACAAAATACGCAAAATTAATATCTTAGCAGAATATGGCCATCATTTTTTAAAAGCTTTATTTATAAAGAATATTGATAATGAGTTCAACAAAATATGGTGTATGTAAGGAATGCTTTTAAGTTTATTAAGTGAAAATCTCCTGAAAAGTTATTTAGAATTGAAAAAGTAATGAGGAGAAAATAGGTGTAATAGGATGTGCTCTGTCCCGCCTCGTATTAGGTTGAATTAAGGAGCCTCTATCGATCTACCGATCATTATCCCACCGAACGAAGTGGATAGATTTAAGGGGATATAGGAAAGCCGTCCGTCCGTCCGTTTATCCGTCTGTCCGCCAGTGTCCGGGCAATAACCCAAAAATGGCCGCCATTTATCGTAAAAAATGTAAGCTATGATAACTCAATCACTAGTGGACAGATTTGGTTCTCATTTTGTCTGCTGATGCCTAGATACAAAGGAGCTTTCATTCAAGAGGGGGTTTTCAAGATGGCTGCTGATTTTAAAATGGTCGCCATATTTCGCAAGAAAACGTTATATTTGATAACTCAAATACCAGTGAACAGATTTCATCCAAATTTTGTATGCTGATGCCTAGGAAAACAGTTGCTCTGTTCAAGAAACATTTTTAAGATGGCGGAAATATTTGATGACTCAAAAACCAATTAATGGATTTACAGTAGTTAAAATGTTATATGCTGAAGCCAAGAGACACTGTTGCTCTGTTAGAGCATCAATTTTCAAGATGACATCTGAATTTCAAAATGGCCGCCACTTTTCCCCAAAAAAGTAACCTTTCATAACTCAAATACCAGTAAACGGATTTGGTTCAAATTGTATATGCTAATGCCGAGGGACATAGTTGCCCTGTTCGAGAAAGAATTTTCAAGATGGCAGCTGAATTTCAAAATGGCTGCCATTTTTGTAAAAAAAACTTATATCGGGCTATTAAACGGATTTGGTTCAAATTTTATATGCTGCTACCAACAAACAGACAAAGGAGATCTACTTAAGAAATTTTCAAGATGGCACCTATATTTTAAAATGGCAACCATGGCTGCCCAATTTTAATGTCACCACTAGAAGTTTTCAACGTTTTGGGGGGGATGGTGTTCGGTGGTTGGTGCGTGCGTCTGTTACAGCGGCAGTAGGCGTCTATAACAAATGACAGGTGGTGACATTTTGCATGTTATATTTACCTTGTTTAAGATCTTTTATTACCAGAAAAATTATTCTGCATTGTTTTAAGCTTTTCACTATGTGTTTTCATGAAATATAGTAACGTGATATGACAACATATTGAATCGAAATACAGATGTAATTTAACATAATTCTGCTTGCTGTATTAGAGAACGATGGAAAACATGACAGACAGATTTTTGTCTCAGCCTTTCTATTCATTTTTATGTACTTTTTATCTCAGAAAATAAATATTTGTATTTATTATCTGGCCGATTTTTTATGTGGCCCGATTAGGTTTAACTTCCTACAAGTTTTCGCCAAAAGCGTACGGAATTTAAATGGCGTGTAGAATTGATTTGGATAAATTACTCCTAAAATGAAGATACCCAAGCAAGCATGCAAACTCTATGAATAAGATTACACCATCCTATATATGCCTCCTGTGTCCTCGATCGTGTATAATTTTTTTAGACAAATTTGAAAAATTTGGTTCAGATTGCGCTGACATCGAAATGGTAACTTCCGATAATGAATAAATAAATGAATGAATAAATAAATCAATAGATATTAATTAGATAAGTAATAAATAAATAAATGAATAAAACGTTGACACTACACTGGACGAAACTGGAGAAAAGAACGCGGTATACTTGCACTTTGAATGCAACAAATAAATCAATACATGCGTTAAGTTGTCTTCTTATATTGGGCATCAGTCAAGGTCGCATCTTTATCTTCGGTTGATTTGTTTAAATCTTGTTTCCTTGGGATTTTGTTCGATAACAATTTCAATTCGCCGATGCAAAAATAAACTCCAGGAACCGATTAAAATAGCCACACTTACTCTAATAAATGAACATTATTAAAAACACAAAAATGCTTAGTGAAATCGATAATAGTAGGTGTTTCTATATTACTATCAAGTCTTTGTCACAATTACAGAGGAAAACTGGAGTTACGCGATCCAAAGTTCACTACAATGCACTGGCGGATATGGGGGGGGGGGCCCAGGGGCCCAGGGGCCCGGGCCCCCCCCCCTCGGGTGGGCCCAGAAAAAAAAAATTGGGCCCAAAAAAATTTTTGAGCAAAAAAAGGCCTTGTGGCCCCAAAAAGTGGTCCTTTTTGGTCATAAATGGGCCTACTAAGGCCTTATTTTTTCATTTTAGGCCAAATTTTGAAGAAAATGGGCCTCAAAATTTCAAAATTTGGGCCCAAATTTTGGTTTTAGGGGCCTAAAAAAATTTTTCGCTCAAGCGCGGACATTTTTTTCTCAGACAAGAAGTTTGGGCCCCCCCCCCCCTTGTTGGTTCCCAGATCCGCCCCTGACAATGGATGTTTTGCTAAACCCAATTTCCTGCCCCAAGAAAATCCAGATTAATAAATTAAGCCGGATATTAGCTTCAGCTTGAACTACGTGACAGGAGATGCAGTGTATTTGTAAGACAATACAACAAAACATGTCTCACATTTGTTTATTTGAAGAGATACTTGATAAGTAATCTTAGTAGTATTACTGATTTACTGATTACTGGGTCGATCTCCAAATGTCTAAATTGATTTCAACATCGATCGGTTCAATGCATTGGCCATTTACACGATCGACCTCGGTGACACCAATAAGTACAAGCCATCTTAATCCCAAGTTATCCCAATCGTCCCGGTAAAACAAAAACAGAAAAACAGTACCATACACAGGGTGAAATAGAAAGCAATTCTCTTATTCATGTACAATTTAAAACTATTCATTTATGAGTTTTTCACCCTGCTCACTTTTCGCAGTTCGATCAACACAAGATAATTGAAGACGTTTTAATTCTAACTGAGAAAAAGAGGGTTACATTTTTGAGTCAACCTGTATAACTGACAACTCTAAAATCCATAACATGGTCGATATACGCCATTCGCCAATTAGTATTTTTTCGTTTCAATAGTAGAACATACGTAATAATAGATTAATCAATTAATCCAAATGAAGATAAAGATATAGATAGAACTGCAAGATTTTTGAGCCATAGTTGGGATACATTTTACGCAGAAGGATACGAATATGAAAGTCATATTCATAGCACTAATTCAATGTATATCCATAATAAAAGGAATTCAATGTGGACTTACAAGGCCCTTTCTTGCAAAAACAACAATTTATGAAACAATATTAAATGGAAAGATTCTGCGAAATGCTGATATCACGACGGTGTTTGTTGACGATGCTCTAGAGTGTCTTAGAGAGTGCAATAAACTGTATACGTGTGTCTCAGTGAATTTTAATATAATAGACACCGGCTCTGGTGGCAAAGAGTGTATGCTGAATAAAGAACTCATTGCGGAGGAATCGGAACTTCAGGATGACATTTCATACCAGTTTATACAGATGTCCAAACAAAATTTTACAAATTTTAGAGTAAGATTTATCCCTCACCTATTTTGCATTCTACATATGCTACAAGACACACATTGATAAATATCGCACTTTGAAGAGCAAAATGGTCCCCGTGTAATTTACACAGCATGCCCAAATTCTAATCACTTGTTGGCACTAGACTGCACTTGTAAGTGTAAAAATTTCAAGTTGAAAGACAAAGCGGATTTCCTGGAATTTCGATGACAGGATTTAATGAAATATTCAAAATGGCCACTTAATTCACCCAGCATGCCACGTGTATTGATACTTGTCTGGTCTTAAGCGGGGGGATAACCCCAGAGTTCAAAGATGACATGCGCTTATATTGTAAACCTGTATTGAGATGACATACATCTCTAATTGGTCAAAAATCGATAAACAAATGACGTCATCAATGGCGGCTTCAAAATTTTCTAAATACGCTTCGAAAAATATTAGGTTCATTTCTGACGTGTTAACCAATATCATAGCTTCTTATTTAACACCAAGATAAAGAAAGATGAATATGCCTAGATCAATTAAAACTGGAAACCACCCGGTGAAAATTCGAACTAACGAATGTGGTAAGCAAGAGACGTAATTATGTCTGTCACCTGGGGCTTGCCCTCCTCTTGGTCTCAGATAACAATTTCAAGCGGTTTTCTTGAAATCTTAATGAGAAGATTTATGAAAAATTCTAAAAGGCCAATTTATCAAAGAATTCAAAATGGCCACCGTGTATACGTAATTTAGCCAGCATTCCCAAAACCCCATTCATATGTTGGTACTAGTCTTCTCTTGCATCTGTAAAAACTCAAGTTCAATAGTTTTCTTAAAAAATTGATGACAAGAGTTTTGGAAAAATTCAAAATGACCGCCATGTAATTTACCAACATTCCTAAAATCTAATCAGACCTTGGCACTATATAGTCTATTAAAAATTAAGTTGAACAGATATGTGTTTTTCTGAAATTTTGATGAAACAATTTATGGATTATTTCAAAATGGCTGCCAAATAATTTACCCAGCATGCCAAAAGCCCAAATTAAGCCTGATCTTGGCACTAATCTGATCTTACATCTGTAAAAATGTCAAGTTGAACGGACAGGCAATTTCTCTGGAATCGAATGACAAGATTTATGGAAAAATTAAAAATGGCCACCAAGTGAGTTACTCAGCATGCCCCGAACCTAATCACATCTAAGCACTAATTTGGTCTTATATATGTAAAGATTTTGGAATTTGGGAATTTTGATGACAATATTTGGTATATGTAGCACCCGCCCGCACACCCACATGCCCATCAGCATAAGACAACGGCAAAACAGCATTTTTTTAAAATGCGATAAAAAGTAATTTATAATCTTGTAGATCATTACATTGCGTTCTATTTGCTACAGTAATTAAAAATTACAATGTGGTGAAACTTCGCTAAAACTCTTGTTTGTACAACTACTTCTTAATTTCATCATGGATTTTGAAAGAAATGTTTTATGCAAACATTTTTTATCGTTTTTTCAGACTCATTGTTCCAGAGAGGGCGGGACGCAGATGTGTATCAGTATGTACAAGTTTCCTCTTTTTATCAATATCTTTTAATTTATTTACTTCTAATCTATTTACACTTTTATTCACAATAAAATGTTCATGTACGTGCTTAATCAAAACATGACTCCATGAATATACCAGTTTGGGGTACAATCTTAATTTAGAATCCAAAATTTTCAGCGGAGCATATTTGCACAAAGCATCACGTTACTTTGCTCGATCTTTATTTCTTTTGAATAGTACATTATATAATCGGATGTCCCAAAAAGAAACATGAATCTGGTTGTTGAAATATGTCCAGACATGTCGATCCAGCCACGGGGGTACATCCATTTTTCGGGTGTCCCAAAAGCGAACCAATTTCTGAAGTATTTTCTCAGCGATTGATAACTCATATTTATTTTTAAATTCTATGGAGTAGCCTAAGAGTTTCATAAGCAAGCTGTACAAATATGAAAGAGATCGGTTATATTTAACATGAAAATTGACTAATTCAAAAATGCATGTAAAAGATCCAATATGTATTACTACAAGTATATTCGCTAAACGTGCATGGTGCAAGCAGCAACCCCTTTGTTTTAATACAATAAAGTACAATCTCACACCTAACCGGAATAGCCTGACAACGGTAAAGTCAGATACCGTTGTCACAAATGGCGGACATCAGGGGCGGATCTGGGAACCAACAAGGGGGGGGGGCCAAATTTCAGGTCAGAGTAAAAAACGTCCGCGCTTGCGCGGAAAAAAATTTTGGGCCCCTAAAACGCAAAAGTGAGGCCCATTTTCTTCAAAATTTGGCCTTAATTTAAAAAATAAGGCCTTAAAAGGCCCAGTAATGACCAAAAAGGCCGACTTTTTGGGGGCCTTAAGGCCTTTTTTGGCCCAAAATTTTTTTTGGGCCCTATTTTTTTTTCTGGGCCCACCCAAGGGGGGGGCCCGGGCCCTCAGGCCCCCCCCCCCTAATCCGCCAGTGGACATAACCGTCGCTTCAACTCTTCAATTATTTGGTCCTCATTTCATGGGATTTTATCGTCGTTAATTCTGTGCATGTATTAAGCTGTTGTGATGATGTATCATATGAAATCCCAATTTCGATCAAACTGGGTCGTGAATCTCCACAAAATAGCGTTTTTGATATCGTCAATGACAACGGAATCCGAATTTGAAATAAGACAACGTCATATGGTGATTCAGTGTCCGTTGTCCCGTATCTCATTTTGATCGGTTAAATTAAAGACTTTAGTTCGATGGTAGAACATTATTAACTATACAATGAGTACAAAGACACTTTGATTGATTGTTGTTCCAAAAGGATTTAGTCTAGGTGCTCTATTAAACATAAATGTAAATCTTAGCGACGGTTATATCCGCCATTTGTGACAACAGTATTTGACTTTACCGTTGTCAGGCTATTCCGGTGTGAATCTAACTTTTACAGCATGTCCAGAGTCTACTTCACTGCGATATCCTTATTACAACTACATTTATAACGGCCATTGTTATTGGTTTGGTGCCATTGGCAGAACAAATGGAACCGATGCTGCAGTACGTTGTCAAGAAGCAAATGGCTACCTGGTCTCCATCAACGACGAGGCAGAACATACTTTTTTGGCCAGTATTGCTGTTAAGCGGATAACAACACACGGAGGGCAAACTTACATAGGTGAATATAGTAGTGTTGCTATGGCATTTTTTCCGTTTCCTGCCTTAGGCCTACACACAAACGTGCTAGTTGTGGTGGTGGTCAAGTTGTTTTATACTTTCTGAATGTCGGCCATCTTGTTTTCAGATTTCTGAGCTATATGAAATGTTCTAAAACAACGTTGACAACTAAGAGAAACATTTGTACAATAGGTGACCAATTTAAATAAAACTTTTTACATGTCATATTTCAGGATTGCCTCAGAAATCCCCGACTGAAAACATTCATGACACTTGGGCTGATGGAACGCCTGTCGAATTTTCAAGGTACAGTGGAACTTGCATATCCGAATATCTTGGTCCCAATCCGAAAACCATACATTTCAGATAATTTAGCGCAAAGTCTAAGCAAATCTAAGCGGATATTTTTATCATGAGGCCCAACTATGCACATTGAAAACCGTTATTTGAATTTTAGACCTACCAGATATTTGAAAATCAAGAATTGTGAGTTTCATACTGCACCGTTTTTCTTCAAACTTGTTCCATAAAAAGCAAAACAAAAATGCCTTTCTGTGGGAACCTGCCTCAGAGATGAGACCCTAACGCCTCTAAAAAGAGGGACTCTGTATAACCGGAGAATGTGCCAACCGACGGGTATTTTTGTTTTGCTTTTAATGAAATTTATTTATTTATTTATTTATTATTAAATCTATTTCTTAATCAATTCATTCCATGCTAGATCATCAGTGAAATTCCAAGGCACTATACAGTATAGTACATCTCAAAAACAAATGATTCGAAAATGCAAAAAATCTTTCCTAAATCGGACATGTCCGGGGTACTATGATATAAGGAGTACCTGAACCCTGCGCTGAAGAGATGTACAGTACTTCCATACAATACCTAAATACGTTATTTAGTTTGTATGGATATTTGAATAATGTTATGCAGGTGGCGGACAGGATATCCTTCTAGTGTTGATGATGCGTGTGCAATACTGGAATCAAGTAGTGCATTATGGCGAGACTATGGTTGCGACGTGACAAGACCGTATATATGCGAGACACCAGCTGTTGCCGGTAAGTGTGTGTATATTGACAAAATGTATAAGAAAGTTCTGTTAATTTTAAGGCCTGTCTAAAGTATGGCGATATTAATCTCAGAATGAAAGGCATTTTGGAGTACCATTGCTTTCTGCAATGTTTGGCGTTTAGCTTTTCTTTTAATAAAGCGATTGCGTTTCTTACAGTGGTTTATAACATCAATTATTACCGTTCGACTTATTTTTTATATTTTTTTTCAAACGTAATTTACAGCACAAATTGAATATCGACATATCATATGTTTTGAACATTCACATCGATATTTTTCACCATTGAGAACTGTGGTCTCGGGTAGGGGGGAGGGTATTCTGCATGTTAAGATTGACTAGGATCCTAGGCTGAACCATGGACCCCTATCCCCAGATAATATCAAATATCAATAATGTTCCAATACCTACACATCAATAGTGTGCATTACCATACCAACGGCAACCAGAGACGTATAAAACATGTTCATATGTCTCTGTAACATTAAAATGGTCCAATCTTGCTATTGGGCCAAATCCATGAAATCTACAAATGGTATCGCCTTGGCCATCTTTTTGATAAAATAGTATGTTCATGATGAACATACTATTTTATCAAAAAGATGGACAAGGCGATACCATTGCTAGATTTCATGGATTTGGACCCATAGCATAGTTAACTCATCGAAAAACTAAATCTAAAATTGTAATTTATCAAAAAATAAGTGCATTCTCATACCACATAAGTGAAAGCAAAATATGTGACAAAGCAATCATTAATAAGGGCAACATTCGAAAAATTGAGTAATTTTCCAAACATTACCATACTGATGGTATCTATGACCAATGGCTAACCAAAATGCAATAGGTTCATTGCCATACCAAGAGTGATACCACACAGGCTTAAAATAAGGTGAATCTCCCTTAGCCAGGCCCGTTTGATGCCATATTGTTTTGGTCATCGTTTTAATGACCAGAAACGTTCGTTAGTCTTAACCGGACGGCGTCTACAACAAAGCGTTGCATTTTTGTATCTGTAGTCAGGTCCGGGAACCAGGTGAGGACATTTTGTATGTTCTTCCTGCCTTGAATACGTTTGGTGTAATTTTGAATTCTTTTCATGTACTTTTAGTATCATTGGATGGTCCCTATTATCTCCAGCCTTACAGTGATGGCTCGAGTTACATCGGGTTACAGAACACTGATCAACTTTGGCTCTCCAACCATCTGAATAGCTCGCAAGCTTTCTACTTTCAATCACCCGGAATCACGTGGCAAAATGGCACAGTCACGCTATTCTCGGACGACAACACGGGGAACATGATGCGCGTAGTTGGCGGGCCAGGCTATTTACAGAACTGGGCGGATCGTTCAAGTAATGGGAATTTCGCGGAGGAAACAACGTTCACATTGTCGGAAGATGAATTTTTTCCTGATTTTGTAACATTACGTATTCATGGGAAGTACATGGTGGTCTCCAATGGGCAGCTGGTTTCGCAAGCGTTCCTGGACACGGACGCATTTAAAAGCAGTGCAAGCTTTAAACTGATCGCTGCTCCTTGAAGAGAATCAAATATTCCCAATCAAACAAAATTATGTGCAGCCCGATCGTACAACTTCATCATATTAAAACATACATACATATATATAGGCCTATGTTTTACGATTTGAATATTATAAAATAGCACCCTGAACTAAACAAGACAAAGATGGCAGACAAACGGAGTGAACAAAATTAAAAATTTAAAACAAATAATGTGGATGAATTCTTCGTAAACACTGAAAACGAACACACCACAAAGAAAAAACATATACAGTTGCAAGTTAACAGATCGGCACATGGGATACATGCTTAGTTACTAATTCAAACCTAATCAGGTATAGAATACAAAAGTTATGCACGGCCCGATGCACGGTCGGTTTTGATAAGAAAATATCCTTTAGTTTGGGATATACAAATCTTCTTTCTCGGTCCCTTTGTGCCCTCGGGAAGATATATTGTGTATCCCTAAGGATATCCATGTATCCAAAACCTCCCAGTACATAAACCCTATATATGATCCTAACACCAAATAAAACTTTCGACAATATGACAATATGTGAAATGTTAACTTTAAATAAGACTATTCGAGTAAAAATGGTGACAATGAGTATTTGTTTGACCCAACTATTACACTGCCCCTGATCTCAAATAGATGCAAAATGTAACTACCTGCCATTTGTTACAGATCCACTGAATGCGGTCCACGAAAAAGTTGGAGACTATAACAATGTTTCCCCACCACAAGTTAATGATATATCTTTTTTAATTGTCAATTCAATCTAATATCGAGTAAAAATCTCTCACAAAGTTAATTGTAAAACAAAGTACATATAGATGGTGTCCAAAATGAAGTCAATCACATTACGGTTCAATCCCCTCCCCAATCCCCATTTTCACACTGTACATTGAAACCTGTGAAGCGAAACGCCTCTTTAAGTGGAAAACTTAGAGTCCCTAGAGCAATAGGATAGTTTCTAAATAGCAGAAAAGCAATGGAATCTAGTGCTGCACTCTTTTATTCAGCTTTTAATTTGGGCTAGAGTTCCATTCACATGCTAAAATCTTGGAAAAGTGGCTTAATTTCATGATTTATCAATGAGTCTTAGTTGTATAAATACAAAACTTGAATGATATACCACATGATGACCCTGTTTATGTACATATTGTGATTAAACATGCAAATGTTGGTTGACATACAAATAATGGAGATTTGGCCAAAGTTTTTTTAAATTGTCATAGAAATTATTCAAATTACATAACTGTGTAAACCAAAGCTAATATAGGAGAAAACAGTTCACTGAATTCAAAGATGCAATTTAAAAGAAGGTATTGAAGTCATTAGAGGTCCAATTAAGTAAATCTCTTAAAATCTCACGAAAAACGAGATTTAGCGAGATTTCAAAAGCTATATGGAAACTATACTATTGACTTAATGTTAAATAAACCTCTATAAGTGGAACACCTCATAAGTGGAACACTTTTAGAGGTACCAAAGGTGTTCAACTTGGAAAGATTTTACTGTAGCCTAATTTAAAAAGGCTGTTTTGCCTTTTGCATTTTAACATTATTCTTCTATGAAACGACAATTTAGGATTTACCCCTTTCTTATGATGAAATAAATTTTGTTGTTCATGTTCACATTTGAACACTCCCCTTCATCAATATTATTGCCACTCAACCTTCATCTATCACTTTTGTTGTTTATTCCTCTTTCTTTATTTTGTTTTGTTTTTTATTCCTTTTCCAATCTTTATTCCAGTACAAATCCAACATGATAATTGTAGTTACAATGAAAACAAATCCATAATCCTTTAACTATTGACAATCAATTACAATGAGTTTATATTGGTGAGAAGTTTACTTTATTGAGCGTATTTTTGGCTATTTTATTTGTTCAATACAACTCAATACAGACACCATCCAAACTGCACTGATGATACAGTCACCTTGTTTGCTGCTACATAATAGCTTAAAGGGCTTATAGCTGTTTTTCTCATTTAATAACTCTGGAATACTTTCAATTCAAAATAATTATCATTAATGTTACCTTCATTATCATTAATGATACTTATATTATCACCAATGTTACCTAAATTATCACCATTAATGTTACCTACATTATCATTAATATCACCTACATTATCAAAGCATTATTACCTAAATTATCGATAGACTTGGACATAAACCTTCTTTTCTGTAATTGATTATGCTTGTAAAAAATCATTCACATAGAAATTGTGTTAATTTTCTTTTGCGGAATTGCAATTTTTTGCTCCAGGTTTACAAAGTGTTCTGGTGAGATAACCCTATCTCCTAAATTAAATTTCAAAGAAATTATCCAAAACCGTGTGATATTGACATTGATTTCAATAAAAATAACAAGAGAAAGAGTGATTGGCTGGAAACTTGTTGACAAGGTTTATTGGGACGCCACCCGACCGACCACCCACACGACCGACCGCCTGCCCAGTCTACCGTCCGGCAAACTGATCACAATGAATTGATATGGCAATGTTAACATCAAAATTTTTTATGTAGACATCCAGTTGGTGTAAAAATTTCTAATTAAAAATTTATATCTTCCAGGTGCATGGGGACCATTGCTTCCTACTAAAATATAACATTGAAGATCAAATTGTTTTCTAGTTAAAAAACAGTCGGTGACAGCCGATTTTTATGCCTGAATAGTATAAAGCAGAATGAGGTTAGGAAGACTGTAATACAAAAATACACACGCAGGAATCATACAGGATTCAGATGCGCATATTTGTCCTGCGTGAATTTGGGTTCACCTGAGATACGGTAACGCAAATTCCCTTTGATTTACCTTACCTTTACCGCGCGTTATAACGTAACTACATTCGGAGTTTGCGCATCCTCGTTCACTCGGCTCCCGTCGATGAACGCCAGTGTAGACCGAGCGTGCGAAGATGGAGTTTGTGAAGGTTTATCTGTGGCGCGTGTGCTCCTTGTGTTTATTCATTTAAAGGAATTCAATGTCAAATTAGTACACTGTCTAGGATGTTGTTACAGATATTTACATATAAAAATACCCAGAGGAACTAGAACAGATTTTTTAAACGATGAAAACATCAGTTTGCACAAAGAACAGGTCCATTTAACAGACTATTGGTCCACTTAGACTTTTTCTGAAAAACTCATTCTTCCATTTACTTTTAAAACCAATTGCAAGTTGTAGATAAACCTTTCTTCTTGAGATGTGCGATTTCAAAAAGTGGCATAAGTTCTCCGTTTCTTTGAAAAATTGGCAGTAAGAACCCCTATCACAAGGCTGTCTGAATATGGGTACACATTATGTTTACCATCAAAATAATATCAAAACTTATCATTATATAGAATTTAATATATGGAACATATGACATACACGTATTCGGAGAAGAAAATTGACAAAATCTAGCGATATATGTAGTTTACCTATGCAAATCTAGAAAACATTGTCATTTTTCGTTCACTTTGTTATCAAGTTTTAGCATGGTGCTCATTCCCTTTCATTGAAAAGTTAACTGTCAGCCCACACTCCCACAAAAAATATATTGAAACTGTATAATGCAGAGACTGTAAAGTAGCTTCTCTGCAAATATCATTTTTGTGGGAGTTTGGGCTCACCACTAAAACTTAACTTTTGTGATGAAAATAAGCCTGACTGGTTTATGTTTTCAATATGGCTGCTAAACTGGGCATACATGTACACTACATAACTGCATGTACAGATTAGGCCATCCAAAATTAATTATATGTTGGCATTCTGATGAAGAGCCTTATATTAAAAACTACAAAACCTTCATTTATTTAAAGGGTTTTATATATTATTTAAGAGTGAAAATGCAATAACACATTGTGCCAAAGCAAGTAACACACCTCTTGAGTTCAGATGACCTTGTTAATGAAGTTTACATACATGTAGTATTTAATCAAAATCTTGGAACTCATTTTGCTACAATATAATCCAAGATCACAATTCCCTTTGTCATTTATATACATTACAAGTAGAGAGTACATGGGGACATTTTGTTTTTGCTGAAAACATAGAATTTAGTGACATTATTATAAGAAAATCTTTGAATGGCCTAAATGTTTTTCTAAATAGGGAATAAGTAGAAATTATTTTAGGCAATCCTTTGAGTGTCATGGCATTCATACATTATGCTGCCTTATATTTTATGATATACATCGAGAGAGGATTTCTCTGAATTATTTGTGTTTCAAATATGGGAACTGCAAATTGACAAATAACTTTAAAAGTAAGTGTACATTCAAACATTTTAATTTCAAATGCCAAATGCCAATGGGCATTTAGTAAAAGTGACCCTATAACTATTTAGAATATGGCAAACATGTTTAGAAAACTGGCGAGAAGCAATTGAAAAAAGAAAATCCATTCTTTTTGAAGTGCCCTTGTGTGCATTTAATTTCAGTCATTTTATCCTAATTGCCCATGGGCATCTAAAATAATAATCACATCCCAACTCTTAAAACATGCTTAGGATACTGTTAGAGTCTCAAAAGGCAACAAGAACATTCATTTTTGAAACAAGAAAATTTAGTCCCCCTAAAAATGCCCATATCGGTATTTATTCTCAAGATTTTCAGGTAATTGCCCGTGTTGTACCTTTCTCTGCGTGCTAACTGTCCTGCTTAATTTGTTACGGCAACTATACGGTTATTCGATATTGCTCAATGGGTAAAGCTGACTCCGCGATTAATTGGTATAAAAGCGCCCTCAATTTCAGATTTTTACCATAAACTGGGTTAAATGTCCATGTGCAGTATGGCAAGTGATTTTAGACAGTCATATCTTTAACCATGAATACTTTCTAGGCATGAATACAGTTATTTTTGTTAAAACAATATGTTTTCTTTCAAGTGAAGTGCCCATGATGATAAAAATTTCAATTGAACAATTCAAAAATTATAAATAGGGACCCTCTTTTAGAAAATAAGCCTTACGTTCTTTAAAAAGTGACAAGGTGAGGTCCTAATCCATAATTTTTCAGAGAGTGGGATTGATATTTTACTATCACGGGGACGTCACTGAAAACATATTGTTTAAATAAAAACCACTGTATTTATACCCAGAAAATACTCGTGGTGAAAGATATGACTGTCTGAAATCACTTGCCATACTGCACGTGGACCTTTCATAATTGAAGCATTTAAGTTCATAATTTGATGTAAAACTGGCTGGTGCCCATTTAGTCTCATTTGGTGTATTTGCTAAACCCGTTGTCAATATATTTTATTATCGTATGATCTGTAAAATGAAGCCCTCTGATTGGTCAGTTCTTGTGCTGTACCAATCTGTATTGCTACTGAGATTGTCCCCATTGATATATATATACTTCGTCTCGTTCCAATACAGAATTTCTCGAGCAGAATATATATCCTGTATTGCTCTTCAAATCATTCAATAACGTATAATGATGTAACAGCCTTTTCATTTCTTCCAATGTATGTGGAAGTTCCAAGTTTGTCATATTATCCTTTGTGCAGTTTATGAGCGTTTGTGACGTTTAGATTTCCTGTACATTTTTTCAAACTGCATTTATTTAAAAAAGTTCTCTTGTTTTATTTTTACTACTTTTATCTCCTTTACACTTGATGTAAAGTTTCTCTAATTTACAAGTTTCTTTCTACACATACTTTAGAATTGTATGGGCAATATAGAAATTGTTCTGCAGTTTAATTAAATCATTCTTGGACTTGGGGTCTCATAGTTCAATAACATGGCTTCTTATAGTCAGGCCATTCACTCGGCTTTGCTGTACCATCTTCTATGAATTGCTGTAGAACTGTAAGTGTAGTCCAACTGTTCCTTTGTGAGGTCATCAGTTATATTAAATCTTAATAATGAACGGTCTCTAGGGGCACCAGGGTATACAAACGTTGTTGCATAAATGCCCTTTGCTTTGAGAGCTCTATCGAATCGAACTGTGTTGTCATAATCACCAGTGACCAGTCCAAATAGTTGTGTCGGTGGATCAAGATAATAACCCATGTAGCCTAGATTTCGCAGCTCCTGTTTAAAGTATGTGAACTTTATTTGAAGGGACTTTCTTTTGTCATTGGCTTGTTTAACAGTTTCTAAGGCGTTGATGAGTCGTACTGCCTCATGATCTTCGACAGCATTACTGAACGCAAACTTGGTAGTCCCTCCCCGGAATAATCCAACAAATTCTCGTCTCCCTGTAAAAATTCCACCATTGCAGGCTAATCCTTTAGTTAGGGCTGATGTACGGAAGTGCACCCTATCCTCTAAGCCTAACTGACACACAATTCCATTCCCTTCATGGCCATGTACACCAAGAGCGTGACTTTCATCAACGATCAAGGCAGACCCATACTTCTCTGCCAAATCACACATGCCTTTCAACGGTGCTATGGTTCCGATGGAACTGTAAATGCTGTCTACAATTATGAACCCTGGCCCTCTTTTGGTCATTTTAGCCTCAAGGTCCACAAGATCATTGTGCTTGAACACGATCATTTTCCCTTTCATAGCTTTTATGCCATAACGGAATGTGGCGTGAACCAGGAAATCCAAATACACAGGAATGTTATCATTGTATTTTAGTAGAATCTCCATCAGGCTACAGTTTGCGTCCATACCACTCTTGGTTAGCACAACAGCATCAGCTTTTAACCACTCGGCAGCTTTTTCTTGAAACTTGAATAATGGGGATTCTCGTGTACGAGGCCAGACTCCTGTCTTAGCCCATGCTGCTTTACCATCACTTATCTGAGACATGATATACTTTGCATGCGCCTCGTTAATTGCTCGATCATGCCCAATAGCCAGATAGTCACAGCTAGAGAAGTCAATCTCTCCTTTATTGCTGTCCGCCCATCTAGATCCAAGTGCCACATTCAACAATCTGGCATCACGTTGTGTTCGTGCAGGGATGGCAATTTTCGGCGTGATCTCCAATTCTGTGATATTTTCAGTCACTGCTTTGTATGTAATTCTCCTCTTGAGCAGGGTTAGAGTTGGTTGCATCCAGTGTCGGTAAGCCATTACTCGAGGCACAGATATTTGTTGTTTGATAATGGAATACATTGTTTTAATATTCTCAATACAGTTTATCCTCAAAATTGCACAGTTGCCCCATATCATTTTTTCTTACAAGGCAGTGAATACAAGCGATATCAGGTTAGTTCTATATACAACAGTCTGTAAATTATGTTGAGCATAAAAATTGTTCTGTGCATTCCATACATACTAATGATGATGTTTAATATAATAAAAATACTTGATACACCGTGGGAAACAGTATCCTACTTAAACAGTTCAGTAAGCACTTTTATCATATTAACTATTCATTGAATTTCTAGAAAACAACAAAACTCATATATCCCAAAACCTTCTAACGTGAAAAGAAACAGTGTCTTATACCAAAACTCATTTGTTTTTATGCATAAGCATGTAAAGTTTGAACCAAATCTGTCAACTAGTTTTTGATTTATCAAAGATAACATTTTTTATGAAATTGGCGGCTATTTTGAATAACCCAGATGCGAGTAGAAATAATCTTGATTTACGTCATTAAAAATTCAAAATTCAGTCAAAGTAATATCATATTTGAAATCTACATGTAAAATTACATCTAGAAATGTGGTTTTAAAAACCGTTTATCAACTTTGAAAAATTAATTTTCTTTGAAAATGTGACTTCTAGCTCGGGGAGATTCCCCATAGACCCCATGCTATAAAATCACAAAAAATGAAATATCTTTTCTTTTAGTGGACAGATAATATTTTGCTTTACTGGACATATTTTCATTCGTATAAGTATCAGGCACATAAGGGTTATATGAAAATTGAGCCACTTAAATTGATAATATTCAAGTTTAAGGAAACTTTCTTATATACCTGCCATGTTAATTGACCCGAATCAGCCACCTGGTGGTGAAACTGGTAACTACCTACTCGCATTTGGGTAATTGAGTGACCATATTGAAAATTTATTCTCGAGCAGAGGTCCTGCACCCATAAGAAATAAGCCTATGAAATTTGAATCAAATCCGTTAACCAGTATTTGAGTTATAATTATCGCCCGGAAAAACGAACAAACGGGTGGATGGACGGCTTCTCTATATCCCCCTTGAACTTCGTTCGGTGGGATAAAAAGCCAAGAAATCTGTAAATCCTAAGATTTTACTCTGAGCAATAGGTATAGTAGCCGAGCTGACCGACAGCATTATACTAATAGTGCTACGGCCAAGGCCATTTGTGTCCAAAACACCTAGATTCAATTTGACTTTAGATTCTTGTAGGGGACCCCAAGGCATGTAAAAAAAAGTTTGTGAACCCTTGCAAAGCAGGCTCAAAAGTGCTGAGTCAGCAAATTTTATCATTTTCGAGTTGGAGTTTGACTATATGCTTGAAACTATTTAATATCTCATTTGAGGTTGTTGCAATTATAATGAAACATTGTTAATATTTCAGTAAGGCATGTATGAAGAATTCCTGAAAGTTTGGGTCTTATCCAACACAATTTGGTAGAGATATAGGATAATTTGTCCCTAAAAGTACATAATTTCTCTTCAAAATTTCTTATTCAGTCGATAGTTAATCAGTCATTTAAATAAAAGTGTATTAAACCTGATTAAAAACTTCACTGATGATGTTAGCAAATATTTCTTGCATAAGTTTCAATAAAAACTACAAGCATCTATTTTTCTGATTTTTCTCTTTACCTTCCCCTAAAAATTCAAGAAAGGGGGCGTGGCACATTACACTTCAGTCGTTGAAATTGTTGGTAGGGTCAAATAGAAAATGTGTATCACTTTTGCAAAATTTGTTATTCTAAATAAATCTTAACACTATATGTGACATCATAAAATGCTAAATATATTCATTATCTACCATTTTATATTTTTTACAACTTATCATTGCCATACCCCATAGAACCGTTTAGGGTATGTGTGGTCAGCAATAGGAAATACATGTATGTGTACTAATAACATTCAAGTTCAAAATTGTATTTCAGATGCCATTCTATGCTAATGTTGTTTATGTAGTTATGGTATGTTAAGAATGAATTAAGATGATAATATGTTATATTACACTGCCCATCATAAGTTTTGTAACTGGAATTCCCCCTTTGAATCACTTATCAAAGCTTATCATGCTGTTTGGCAATTTTAAACAAGACATCAAGCTTTTGATAAAGCAATAAGGAACAAAATCGAGGTTCAAACATTGACAGACATTGATATGTCATCATATGAAAACTTGCAGTTGCCAACCTTATGGAGTTATTGAGGGGGTGTATATGCTTTGTATAATATGTGTCATAAATTGTAGAAACCTGAAGCCAAAGGAAATAATAGTGCTTTACATTATCTCTAAGTGAATAATTCCGTGGCACTGGGTTTCTTGACATTACTTATATGATATGTGACATTAAGCGAGTTTGGTCCTAGGCCAACATATTCCAATGGTGCAGAATCCCACTCGCCCCATCAAGTCCCATCATGCCATATCGAGTCCCACAATGTCCCATGGGACCATGTTAACTTTGCCCCATGGAGTCTCATCGAGTCCCTCCATATCCCATCAAATCCCACGGAAATTATGTAATTTGGTTTAGAAGGTTTTGTCTCAGTCATTTTGATCCCAAGTTAGCTGACACATCCCATGATCAAAAGTCCCACATTGCCCAAATGGAAAGAGAATGAACCTATGGGGCTTCGTGGGACATTGCCAAATGATACCCCATCGAATCTCATGGGACTCAATGGGGCTTCATGGGGCAAAGTCCCAAGGAATCCCAAGGAGTTCCATCGGGCAAAGCTCAATATAGTCCAAGAATTTCCATGAGGTCCCACCCAATGTTAAATCAATGGAGGTGCAACCATGTTGTATTGGTGTATGGTAGGCTTTAGCGAAGTAACTTCCTTTGTTTACATTCATCAAAACGAAAAAGTTGTCAAAACTTTGTAAGAGCGTGATTATTTGGACTGATCTTACTTGTCTGCTACTTGTCTGCTTCAATCCTGGGGGGTTCACTGTGTACAAAATTTGGCGGGGTCCTAGGTTGAACCCTCAGATATCAATATATTCCCATACCAAAATGTCAAATTTGGATGTGTTCCCATACCAACTGAAATAGTGCCCAAAAGCCATACCAATGCCATACCAAATGTCAAAATATAGGACCTAGAAGCTTAAAATAAAGAGCATTTTAAAGATCTTTTCTTCTATCTCATGGTTATATTTTTATTGGTTATAGGGGGGGGGGGGGGGGTACAATCCGATCCCAGGCTATGCCTATGGACAGGGTGTATTATTTTGACATAAACAAAACATACGTCATCTGTTCTACGGACTACAACTAAACAATTTATGACATATATACAATATGAAGAATGCAAACTTCAATCAGGCTCGGAGTAACTCTGGCTCTTAATCATTTGTTGTTACAATTTGTTATTATATAGCTAATTATTTGCAGCAACAATAGGAGTCTTGTTGCAGTTTACATGGACCCTAAACTATAAAGCATGTACACCCCCTCCATAAGTTTGGCAACTGGAAGTTATTATATGATAGCATATGAAGGTCTGTCAATTTTTAAACCTTGATTATGTTCCTTATTACCATATTTCAGATTACTTTGATATCATATGCCAAAAATAAAACGATACAAATATATGCCATATCCCGCAACGAATATGGCATATTCACTTGCGGTGTATGACAGATTCACCTGCGGTATATGGCATACACACTAACCAATGAGAATGTGATACAGAAGTACGCAATTGTCAATTGCATCTATTGAACGAACAAGTAAAACTTTATAAATAATTATTATATAATGATTACAGAATCAACAGTACAGTGTATAGAATATATAAACTTATGCAGAAGTATCACTCACCAGTCTCACGTAATAAACTTACTCAATCAATCAAGGATTCATATATTACTACTTGACGCACTAACTTTAATGATTTCCAGCGTAGTTTAACATTTAGAGTCAATTCTTGCAACCAATCAAATCAAGGCTTTCTGTATCACGTTTTCACCTGTGGTAAATGTCATATTCACCTGCGGTATATGGCATATTCCGCAAGTGAGTATGACATATTCCGCAGGTAAGTATTGGGTATTTACTGAAATCGATGTATTGCATATTTACTGCGGAATATCGTTTACTCACCTGTGGAATATGCCATATACCACAGGTGAGTATCGAATATTCACCCATATCACAAATACCACACAACCAGGAATGTATGCCATATTCCGCGTAACAATTCAAAGAGGTTCGAGTTGCCAAACTTATGATGGGAAGTGTTATCATTCATGAACATTAACCATAACTACATGAAAAACATTAGGAAAGAATGGCACCTGAAATACAATTTTCACTTGTTTATTAGTTATTTTATTAGTACACATACATGTATTTCCTATTGCTGACCACACATACCCTAAACGGTTTTATGGGGTATGGCAATGATAAGCTGTAAAAAATATAAAATGGTAGATAATGAAAATGTTAAGCATATTATAATGTCACATATAGTGTTTAGATTTACTTAGAATAAGAAGTTTTGCTATAATGATACACATTTTCTATTTGACCCTAGCAACAAGTTCCACAACAGAAGTGAATGGTGCCACGCCTCCTTTCTTGAATTTCTAGGGGAAGGTAAAGAAAAAAATCAGAAAAAATAGATGCATGCACTTTTTATTGAAACTTTTGCAAGAAATATTTGCTAACATCATCAGTGAAGTTTTTAATCAGGTTTTATACACTATAGGCCCTTACTGTTTTTTAAATGACTGATTAACTATCGACTGATTAAGAAATTTTGAAGAGAAATTATGTACTTTTAGGGACAAATTATCCCATATCTCTACCATATTCTGTTGGATAAGACCCAAACTTTCAGGAATTCTTCATACATGCCTTACTGATATATTAGCAATGTTTCATTATAATTGCAACATCCTCAAATGAGATATTAAATAGTTTCAAGCATATGGTCAAACTCCGACTCGAAAATGATAAAATTTGCTGACTCAGCACTTTTGAGCCTGCTTTGCAAGGGTTCACAAACTTTTTTTTACATGCCTTGGGGTCCCCTACAAGAATCTAAAGTCAAATTGAATCTAGGTGTTTTGGACACAAATGGCCTTGGCCGTAGTACTATAAGCTGACCGACAGCATTATACTTAGCTGACAGACAGCGTTAGATCCGGTCCGTCTTCTCGCTGCAAGGAGATTGCCCCGAACCGGTCCGTCTTCTCGCTGCAAGCAGGATGAAATTCTTTGTCACAAAGTTTGGCATTTTTTATAAAATCAAACGCGCGCATTGAAACTCACAAGATGTAAATAGCATGTCATTTACATCATACCTTGATGGGGAAAAATAGATCTTATATGTTAGAAGTACTAAATAAAAGTTATCCTGAAAATGAGACAGTCGTTTTCGAGAGAAAAGAACATAAATGCGCATTTAGAGAGTTTTGGTCCGTTTAAAAATCTGTAAAAAATTGGGGTACTTAAAAGCATCGGGAGGCATCATATATTTCAAATTAGACACGAGGAAGTCAATATTGAGCAAGTTATGGCTATTTTAAATTCAAATAAAACCGTTAACCCGTACCGGTCCAGCTTTTGACCCGTACCGGTCAATTTTCGTTAGCTGCATATACCAAGGGTGAAAAGGCCCAAGTGCAAATCGAAAACATATTTATCAAATTACCTATGTAAACCTCGATTTTCTCCCGATTATTTTTAGCAATTCCGATTTTCTTTTGATTTATTTTTAGTATCCTGATTTTCTCCCAATTTTTGGAATTGTTGATATACTTTTTGTACCTCCGATTTTTCTCCCAATTACTTTAAAGAAATCCAGATTTTCTTCTGATTTTTTGATAGAAATCCCAATTTTCTTCTGATTTTTCAGGAACCATTCAGATTTTCACCCCAATTTTCTCCTGATTTCTTAAAAAAAATATCCTGATTTTTATTTTTTTTAATTGACATGTTAGTAAATAATCAGAAAATGTGATATTAATGTGATTTATTTAGTGTATCCAAATGGGACAGGTGTGAATAACAGAAAATTAGTGAACTGCCATCTTTACAAGTCCTGGCTCACACTGAGATGATGATACCGCTAGCAAACTAAAAGTAGGATGGCGTCTACTATATCTAGTACCAGGCCTATAGCCAGCTTCTGCCATGGTTGGTTCACATTTGATAACTTTGGCCCAAAATCAATGAATGGTGAAAAACTATGATTTTGAAAGAATTTTTGACCAGGGGCAGCATTCTCTCCTGGCTACAGGCCCGTAGTAGAAATGTTCATGATAATTCACCAATTGATATATTCCTTTTGAGTTTCATTTAATTGCTCCAAAAAGTGCACAAGGAAAGTCTTTGATTGCCTAGCACTGCCATCACAGTTGTACCCCTTATACTTTAAATACTCCCGAAGATTTTCTGGAATTTCAAACGTGTCAATTTTCTCCCAGTGTCTCCCAGGAGTGAGGCTTCGTTTTATCGCAACACGACTGCAGTTTTGGAGACTTCTCGGCTGTTTGTTTACCAATATTTCTTTCACCTGAAAATCCAAAAAGCAATATACAGGGGTTTGTTTACCAATATTTCTTTCACCTGAAAATCCAAAAAGCAATATACAGGGGTTTGTTTACCAATATTTCTTTCACCTGAAAATCCAAAAAGCAATATACAGGGGTTTGTTTACCAATATTTCTTTCACCTGAAAATCCAAAAAGCAATATATTAGATCACTGCTTCATTCTTTCAGTTCATTCACAGTAATAGGCAAAATGGAAAGGAAGATTATCTTTCAGAAAATTTCACTTTGACTTCTATAGTACGAATTTTGAATATAATAATTTCGCACCTGCATATTTTGAAGAAAAATTCAGGTAAGAATACTAAAAAGCAACATCTAACCAATAACGTGTCAAATACATGTACAGGTTATTAGAGTGAGGAATGATGGCATTTAATATGAAGAAGCAATACTTAAGAAGGATTGTTGCAGTGCACTCTCTAAATGTTCATGTGAGGGACAACAAACAGACAGCACCATCTAGTACTAGTATAACATATTAAATACAGGTTTTTAACACTTGAAATCAGGCCATAGCCAGGATTTGCCAAGGGGGTTCACTTTTTGAATAATTCCAGAGGGGTTCAGTTTTGGCAATTAAGGTCAAAAAATGGCCAAAATCACTTAAAAATTGCTAAGAATGGTGAAAGACTGAATGATTTTGAAAGAATTTTTGGTCGGGGGGGGGGGGGGGGTTTCTGAAACCTGAAAGCCTTAAAACTACAAACATGTGTTTTTTACCTTCACACAGAGTTCTTTGCCAGGATGGATGACGTTTGGGTCCTCTGCATTCAGTTCAGGATCAATCGGAAACGTCGTAAGTAGGATGAAAAATTCCTGTAGCTTTACATCTGTCCAAAGGTTAAAGCCCAAATCAAACACCAACTTAAGATAGTCCGTTGAAAAGTAAAAAAAAGATGGACTTAATAGTTTTGGTGTACTTGGTATGTAATTATGCTGAAGAAAAAGTAAAAGCAATTCGTAGCTGCCTGTCTTCTTTGCCATTTTAATGATTTTTTCAAATGAAGGTACGATTTCGTCAGTTGTTGCTTTAGATTCCTCATCTTGTGCATTTGGCGGATCATTGTTTTTGACTGTATCTTCAATGTCTCCTGAGTTTTGAATTAAAATCTTCACTTTGTCAGTGTCTAGAATACGTGGCACATTAAATGCGTATGTCAATGGACTCATATTTGAGCAATAATTTTCCTTGGATGTTACTTCTGGATGACTCTGTAACATCCTGTTCATGATTTGTATCGCGACTTTGCTCTTGCTGCGTATGACCATATATAGACTGTTAAGTCCCTCTTGGTTTTTATTTAAAATATCTGCGCCTGATCGTAGAAGCAGTTCTATTGTTTTGATAGATTTTGGTGTTGATTGTATCGCACACTGCAACACATTATTTCCCTTATTGTCTGTGATATTTGGGTCAGCACCATTCTCTAAAAGAAGCTGAAAAGCAAAAATGAGCTTAAAATTCAAAATACAACTGGGCCCAGGTTCTAAATGCATAAGGTGGAGCAGAGTGAAATAAAGGGGATTAAACTTGTATGTACATAAGGGTTATATGTACTGGGAGGATTTGGATACAGGGTTTATCTTGAGGGAAATATGTGTATTTCCTGAGGAATAATCCTGTCTCCAAAACAGATTGTACATAACAGAGTTATCACCAACTAAGATTCAAAGTAAAATCTACCTTCTATTGGGTTCTAAGATTCAAAAGTTTTAATGATGGATATTCTAATTATCAATTTTAAATACAATTATATACAAATAGCAGTTTAAATGTGTACAGACAAATGAACATATTTGATGGGAAGATCAGACAGACAGAGCAAGGGACTGACATCTTGCAAATCACTTGGTGAGGAAAAAAATACATACTTGTGTCATACTGGAAAATTCCCGTGCCGCAGCCTCAAATAATACTGTCCTTTTCTTGCGGCCACAGCGGTGATTAACATCAATACCTGCCTTGAGTATTTTCTTCGTCTCATGTAGGTTGTTAGTCGAAACCGAATACAGGAAATTAGATATACTACTTCTTTTCACCATTGTGCTTGCGTGGTTATTGAGTAGTTTAATTATGAAGAAGGCGTTTCTGAAATTGAAATTAAACACATTACAAAATGCATGACAAAAACATGAGTTACCATAGCAACCATAACTTTTGACTTATCACATGACAATACCTTTAACTTTGTGTTTCTCTGTTGGCATAAATCACTCTACTATACCTTGCATTTGGTGTTCATGAGCAATCCACTTGGCTTATTAGAAACAATTATGTTATTTGTTTTTATTTGTCTGTTCCTTATCAATGGTTTATCGGTTAAAAGTTATATGTTAATAAGGTACTTTCAAAAATATAAACAATACAATTAGACGAACAGAGTATCTTATGCATTTCTAGGGGTTAGGTATAGTAGAGTGTAAATATACTCCTCAAAAAAGTTAAGGACCAGTGGTTTACATGTTAAACCATTGTTTAACCCCATATTTGTTTGAACGACTATTTTCTAAGCGGAGTACAAAAGAAATCCCAATGAAGTATACAAAAGTTGGGATAAATATAAATGTTTCTATTTTTACATAAACTGATTCAATATGGTCATTTGATTGGTTATTTTTTAAATTCAAAGTACTCACAAACATTACTAGTCTATACAGTCTGTTAAACTGCTTCAAAGGCAAGCAATTAAACCTGGAATGTGAGAAATCTAAATAATATTGTGCAATAATATAGAAAAATATATTCATATTGCACACGAATGACATTTGTATATGTTGGATTGCTTGTAAATTGTCTCATAAAGTCTGTAACCTCTTATATTTTGATGCTTCCCTCCCTTAAGAAAAAAGCCATGGTAGCCATATTCCATGGTCCGTCCATGGTTATCCATGGTTTTCCATGGAAATTCATGGTTTTTCATGGTATTTTCCATGTAATTTCATGGATGTCCATGGTAATCTTCCATGGATATTAACCATGATCTTCCATGGTAATGAGTGGTTTGGTAATTGGTTTTTCATGGAATGCCATGTTTTTACCATGATACTAAGTGACTTGGAGTTGTAAAATCAACAATTTTGGCAGTTTTTTGTATTTACCAAAATCTTCCAAATTGAATCAATGTTTAAATGAATGAATCCAAGCTGGATTGAGACTAATCCACGCCCAGTGGTCGTAAAAAAAATGATGGAGGGGGGATTAGGCGATTTCTGCAAGAAAACTCAACAAATTTTTAAGATTTATTTTTTCAAGAGAAAATTTACAACTGAATTGCCAAATGAAGACGCGCAGTGCATGGCAAAATATGTTAGGTCATCTCGTATTTTTTTTTGAACTGATTCCCATTTTAAGATATGAGATCTATTAAAAAAGGCGCATCATCACCAACATGCAAAAGTCAATGTTTTTGCTATAAATCGGGCACATCATTTTTGTGCGATCACCTGGCGTGTAATCATAGAGAGAAGAATATGATGTCCCCCACAATTTTTTGAGAAAGTCAACCCCCTTGGCAAAAGCTGGCTACGGGTTTGAATTACAACCATGCTCCTTATTTTCATAATCTATATATATTAAAACCATGGATTTTTCAAAAGATCAAAAGAATAACCATGGAAAACCATGGCTTTTGATTGCACTTTCCAAAACATCAAAGAAATATCCATGGAAAAGCATGGCTTTTGATTGCACTTTCCAAAACATCAAAGAAATAACCATGGAAAAGCATGGCTTTCGATTGCAATCAACCGACTTCCATGGCTTTTGATTGCAGTTTCCTCAACTTCAAAGAAAGAAACCATGGTTTTTATTGCATTCTAAAATGTAAGAATGTAATTTAAGGAAAAGAGTTATTTATTTTTGAAATTATTTAATTTTAATTTTCATGACTGAATATTAAAGAAACTATAAGAAAACAAAACAGAAGTAGGGCTAGTTTGACTTAATCTTTCCAAAAGAGTAGAAGTGTTTGACCTAAAAAATAAGGAATCTCTGTCTCTGTATCTAGTCTTGATCTACACAAAAGCCCTATATGTATTTCTCTTTGAAATCTTGTGGCCTACTCCCAATGAACCTAATGGCCTAATACCATGAAAAACCATGAATTTCCATGGAAAACCATGAATTACCATGGACGTACCATGGAATACCATGGTTACCATGGCTTTTTTCTTAAGGGTTGCCATGTTAATTCTCAAGAAAATAACATGGCGGACAGACCTCAAATTACAAGAGGGCACAGTCTTATTGCACTAAACACTAAATAATCTGAAATATACAAATGTCATTTGTGTGCAATACGAATATATTTTTCTATATATTATGGCACAATGGTCTATAGATTTCTTATTTTTCAGGTTCAATTTGTTTGTTTGTTTGTTTGTTTGTTTGTTTATATCCAGTATTTGTGGTGCTTTAATGCCACCTTATATAGTGTCTGGTGCTGGTTTTCACTTTGTAGTGTCACTGGTGTGGTTTACACTGTTGTTTTGTAAGAGTTTATTTTTATTTTGTTTTTGGTTTTGCTTAAAAGTCCTTATCTACTTATAACTACTGTTTTATTTACACTTAAAATCTTTTGCTTTTTATAATGTAGGTGCGTAATACATCATATAGCTTTTTATTCATGTCCTTGTTTAGTGTTTGATTTTCACCAGCAAGGGTTTTCAGATCCACTGCACATGTATTTCCACTCTCTAGAAGTATACAGTCTGCAACATATAGCATTTTATCCCTTAGATCCTTGAGTTTGTCGCATTTAAATAAGTAATGGTCAACTGTCTCTGGTTGGTTGCAGTTTAAACAGAGGTTAGTACTATGTATAGGGTTTATTTTCTTCAGATGGCTGTTAAGTCTGGTGTGACCACTAAGGAGTTGGTTTGTAATGCTGAAGGTTCTTCTGTCAGATTCACCTACCCCCATAGATGTGGGGTTATTTTGAGGTTTTTTGATATTTAGGACATTTGTTTCTCAAAATAACCCCACAAAGTTTAGATCTAGGCTTTGATTCTTTGCGGTTTTTTTCACATGATTTGAAGATTCAAGTTCTGACAATATCGGCAGTTTCCTTACCTTTTTTCTTCTCTTCTGTGAAGAGGATTCTTTTTCCAATGTAATTAGCGATCGATCAGTGGAAACAATACTTTATAACTGGAACAATTTGCTGTAATATTTGACTCTCGAAATCTATTCAAATCTTGGCCATTTTCGTGCGTTGCATTCTGGGAGGAATTATGTGGTAGATGGGAAACTTAACAGTGCCAAACGAAATCACCTGTCAAATTAATAACAAAATTATTGCTTATGCCTAAGTTCAGGAAAACAAAGGCCGTAGACGGTACAGCAGCCAAACTTGAGGTTGAAAATCCTTTTAATACACCCCGGAAGGTGAAAATCATTTTTCAAAATTTCCCTCCATTTTTACTTTTGGATTTTGTATTTTCACGAAGTTCGTCATTTAGATAAAAAATATCGACTGCACATGAAATTTGAAAAACTTTTTTAGAAATATCTGTTATCCGTATTTAAATCGTCATTACAAGAATGAATACAACACTTAGAGGGCTATATTTGGAAGCATGTTGAAGATTAATGTCTTGTCGATACAAAAAACATAAAAAGGTGAGTAAATTCTAATAATATTAGTACAAATTCTATGTGTATGCTATTGTTTAGCAAAACCCCAAAGAATCAAAGTACTAATCGGTGTGGGGTTATTTTGAGAAACAAATGTCCTAAATAACACAAAACCTCAAAATAACCCCACATTTATGGGGGTAGATTCACCTAACCTTAGATTCACCTAGCAAAGGTCTCTTTCCTACCGACTCAATAGAGCGTTGGATATACCCCACTTTTTTTGAATTGTTATATTACCTTTGCCATTTAGACTTTGAAGTTGAGTGTATTTGACTGTATATCTCTCTTTTAGTTATTATTAGTGCAGTGCAACAGACTGTAGTTGGTTTTTAATTTTATGATTTTTTTGTGGGCGATAAAGAAGGGAATTGTGATTATTCATATTTCTAAGCCAAGGATTGACTTTTAAATTATCTAAATACAGAACAAGTTTCTTGTCCAGTGATGTTTAATAAAGTCATACTCACATGAAACGGATCAGTCCTTAAAATCCGTTCCCACTGGCTAAACAACGCGAACAATATTTGCACATTTAATTTAAAAATTACACTGTACGAAAAATGCTAATTATTGATCAATCCCCGGGTGCAACAAGGAGCATGCTGTACTCTCTTTACTCCTCGATCTAGACTTGCTCAGCAACCTAAGCTCTTCTGTTCCTCAACCCAAAGAAATCTTGAAATTATTTGTGTCGATTTGGGCAACTTTAGCTTTTACAAAAACAGAAAAAGAGCTTTCTTTCTCTACATAAGTCGCTAGTCCGGCGAGTTGTCCGGATTTTACGCCTATCAGTCACGTGACTTTGGATACCAATGTATACAAATTTTGATTATTTTGGCGGCACCACAACGCTTTTGGATTAATTACACAGTTATGTATACATAAACTACAATACAGGGAGTGGGAAGTGAATCTCTGCATACTGAAGGTAAAATATAACACAATTTACGGAAAGTTTCACGTTAATTGTAGTAAGAAACAGCAGTTTGAAGTTTTCGAATTTTCTTGAAAATTTAAAAAATTTTCAACAAACAATCATGGCTTCACTTCATTTGAGTTTATATCCTGTTAATTGCATTCTAAAATATCTAGAAGATTTAAACAACGAAGTATTTAATGCTTAAAACTTACACATCAGTCACATTTCTCCAGGTGCTCTTGTAATTAGCTACTTACAGTGGCGTAGCGTGGTTATTTTTGAGTGTACGCCACGAGGGAGCGAAGCAAACGATCTTTAAGGGGGGTTCGGGGGTGGGTCCTCCCCCAAGAAAATTTGAAAATGAGATTGCAGTTGAAGCGTTCTGGGGCGTTTTAAAATACGAAATTCCGACGAAATGGACCAATGACATTTAAGGTCAGGGTGCATGATGGGAAATTTTCTGCATTCCTCAATTGAGTCACATGTTATTTTTCAAACAAGAATCACTCCTTCCCTTCATTGTCTGTATCTTCCAGTTTTGCACAAAGAGTGCACTTATGTGCCTAGAAAAGACTTGTGAGAAGAATGTTTTGATAAAGTGTATAAAAAACAAGAAAATTCAGTGAAAAAAATCAGAAAATTTTCAGAATTTTTTTTCACTGAATTTTCTCATTTTTTATACATTTTACAAAACAAACCTTCTCACAAGGCTTTTCTAGGCACAGACGTGCATTTTTTGTGCAAACTTGGAAGATGTAGACAATGTGGGGAAGGAGTTATTCATGTTTGAAAAATAACATGTGACTCAATTGAGGAATGCAGAAAATTTCCCAACATGCACCCTGTCCTTAAATTATTGGTCATTTTATCCATTCAATCTAAAAATCAACTTTTCTTTAAATTTTAAGAGTACGCCATGGCGTTTTTTGCGTATATGACGCTACGCCATTGACTTAGTAAAAATAGATCTAGGGCAAAGGGTTGTAACATTGACATGTGGGGTTTTGTCGACATAAAAACTGGGGTAACTTTGTCACTTACTTATAAGAAGTTAGAATTCTGTTTTCTGCCATGTTTAATTTCTGGGAAAATTAGGTTCTTGTGAGATCTCAATTCATTTGAGAAAAAGTGGCTTCCCCCAAGATCAGAATTAGAACAAATAAACAACTAGATGTCAAAATTACCCCATATGTCGACGTTTCCCCAAATTGGTGTCGAAGTTATACCCCTTCGCCCTACAGAAATAGTGACTGAACTCTGATTCAGACTAGAGTCTGAATTTGGGTACCAATCAAACTTCAAAGCAATGGATATAGCTGTATATGAGATGTGTATCTTGCATCCCATGATTTGTTTTAATATTTTCAGATGATTCACTAGAAAGTCAACAATAACAAAAGTCAACATGGATACCTCTAAATCCCCTAGTGTTGAGACACATGGAAGGCGTTCAAGTCTCGTAAAAAGTATGGATGATATGCGGAAACATATTTCCAAGTTAAAAGCTGAACTCGATGCTTCACGTGCCAAAAACCGCAAACTGCAAAAAGATCAGGGCGTAGAGCTTGAGAAGCTAAGACTGCAAATTGAGGATGAAAAAGCAAAAGAAATAGATAAGATATCTCTCAAGTTGTTATCAGAGAAACATACCCAGCTTGCAAAGTTGAGAGAAACTTTGACTCAGGAAAAGGATTTGGAGTTACGTCAAGTGTTGCGTTTAAAAGATGATGAAATTGTTAAACTTAAAGATCAGTTTGAAACTGAGAAAGAGGAGGCCATTGATATTGCCATTGATCTTTATAAAAATCAATCCAGTCATGAACATCATGTTACGACACAAGCAAACCACCAGGCTAATGCTATGCAACTAGAACAACTACTGTTAGAACTCAGAGACCTTCGGAATCAAAAATCTGACATTGAAAAACAATATAAACTAAAGTGTGTTGCTGATAATGAAAAAGCAACAGAAATACGCAAAATGAAGAAAGAACATGAACTCGAAATCAATCGAATAATCAGAGAATCCAAACGCGAGTCAATTCGGGAAATGAAGCAATTAAAAGATACGGAAAAGGCTTTAGCTGCAAAGGATCAGCAGTTACGACGTAAAAGTTTAACGGAGGAATTGGGTGAAAAACTTTCATTTATTGATCGACGAAACCCCAGATCTTCAACCCCTCTCAGTGGCAGAAGTAGATCATCGAGTATTGAAGCCTTGGACCAAGAGGCATCCTTCACAGTAAGTTATTGTCTTTTATCTCCCTTCCACAGGCCTCATTTAGTCCGGAAGCCAAAGTGTAAAAAATTGAGTAACCATGTTTTATCTGATTAAGTTTTTTCTCTACAGGATTGAACAACGTGACAATTGCAGTATTGCACAAGGCAGTTCAGCATTTAAAAATAACCTTGTGGTCTATTTCAATTTATTTAGAGTGTAGTTCTTTAAGGGGAAAGGCTCGAGGCCTCAGGGTAATCTAATACATATGAAGAGGATTTATCTTAAATGAAGTATACATATAGTTTGTCATTCCTCTGTGGCTCTGTTTTTAGATACCTGTTGTTGTCATGTGAATACATTTTTTGCATGTATATTGAATTCAAATAGAGCAAAAACTACTTGAACAAGTAAAATCGATGCATATTGAACACTTCATACAGGCTTATATTGTTCCATATAGACAGGTGTTCCTTACAGAGAGGGTGTATTAACATGTAAGTCAATAGGACCCGGGGCTTTTGAAAAACTTCCTTAAAGAGAGGTGTTCCATCTGACAGGTTTTACAATAAAAAGACTAAACTAGATCCTTAAAGTAAGACAGAAGGTTTTTGATGCAAGGCTATATGTAATGATTAATACAAACCAATCCAAATACACATAATTCGAATTAAAACTACAAAGTGTTAAAGTCCATTGAAATGTTTAGCTGACCTGTTAAATACTTTTACCGACATATGAATTCTGTAAATGCTACTGGGGCTCAATGTGTTATTCATTAACATTGAATTGCGTTTCCATGGAGATAGTACCATGAGAATGAATCTGATAAGATCTCATAAATGTACGGTTTTTAAATAAGTCCTGCAATCCCCCCCCCCCGTTACTGCTGAAACCTTAATAGCCACTTACATGCAACATATAGTGTGATTTACCATTGGAAAGATCATCCAAAGTTACATTCGCCTACCATTTAATCTGATAAGATATCAAAAATGTACAGGTTTTCAAATAAGTCCTGCCCCCTCTGCTACTGCTGAAACCTTAATAGCCACTTCCATAGTATGATACACCATTGGAAAGATCACTCTCAAGTAAGATGTTATTTTGCACAAACATGGGATTCACATAAGTCGGTTGATCATGCATGTATATTTCGACAAAAATCAGATTCTGATTTCATCTTTATTGTTAAAACTTCAAATATTATAAATGAAATCATGTTGAGGTTATCTTGACCTGGTATAACATTCATTCTACTTTACATAACTAGCGTAATATAAAATATCGGCTATCTATAAATCAGACTGACTGATTTATATTTTGATTTGTCATTTTATAACATTGACAAATCAATAATATCGTTCTGAGATGTGTAGATATATGCGTCTACAAGTACAAGTACATTAGTAATAATTCCATAAATTCAATTCATATATTTCTGTAGCAGATTGCACATTTTATAAATACGAGATCATTTTGAAATGGCAAAATGTTTTTCATTAGAAGAGAATAAAAAATGAGTTATAAAAAATAAATGAGCAGATTTTGTGAATAATTGAATTATGCTGTGTGCTATTATTTTCATTGTGAAATATTCTGGTACCATTATAACTGTTTAAGAGTTGTATTGTGAAGAAAATTACAGAAAAATACATGTATGTAATCCGAACACCCTTTTCATTAATAGTGAACACATCTCAATAAAAATGAACGCTTTTCAGTCCCATTTGAGTCCCAATTGGTGACATATTGTAAAATGGTCTTAACATTTTTGTTAACATTATTCGGTGGTTGGCAGTTGGAGTTTGGCATCCGTAACAAAGGCCAGGTGGTGACATTTGGCATGTAAATGCCTTGTTTTAACCATGTTAAAACCTTGAAAATATAATGTGAACTATGCTGCAGTATGCAAGTCTAAACACCTTGACCAGTCTCAATGGTGTTTGGATTAGACATCGTATGATCTGTAAAATGAATCCTTCTGATTGGTCAGTTCTTGTGCTGTACCAATCTGTATTGCTACTGAGATTGTCCCCATTGATCCTCTCCGTTGCAATACAGAAAATATTGGTACAGAGGGGAACTTATAGTACTATAATGTTACATATATATTGCATGCCATTGCATAATGCATAGCCAAAGAAAGAAATCTTTATATGCTATTTGATGTGTTTATTTATTTCAATGGGATTTGCATAAGGCTGTTACAAAATAAATAGCATTTAAGCATAATAAGTGCTAGGTCTCAGTTCATGTTAACAGTACTTGAATCTGATTTTAGAGCCAAAAATCGAAGAAATTAGATTTTCTTGTGTAATGTTACATTGTTAGTCATGCAACAAAATATGATGCATTTGAGGAGCAATCAGATCAAAATGAAAAAAATCTTTTTCGTCGTTTAGACTTCATTGTCTATAACAAATGGCAGTACTGTAGTGACATTTTGCATGTTAATGCCTAGTTTGTTTTAAGTAATGTACTAATGACTGTCTTTAGCATTCTTTCAAAAGGTAAAACCTTAAAAATCCTCTCTTCAATCTGGTTGGCGCTGTTCTCTCTGAGGTTACAGTTACACAGCAGGTGTCAAAAAAGCTTCATTGAAGGATTTTTGAGATATTACAAAGGCATAAATCATTTATTATGAAGCTATCAAAATGCTTCTTAATAAAGCATGCATTTTCCCTTTCTGTCATGTAACAATTTTTACCAAATATGAACTTGATTTTTTCTGGGTGTCAGAAAAGTTGAAAAAAAACTTCAAATCTCAATAACGCAGATGCGAGTAGGTAGTTACCAGATTCACCACCAGGTGGCTCGTTCGGGTCAAATAGCATGGTGGGTATAGTAGAAAGTTCCCTTTAACTTAAATTACATCTATTTGCGTGGTTCAATTTTCATATAAATGTCCAGCAAAAGAAAATGTTATCTGTCCACCCGGGGAGTTCACTATATATAAACCTTGACGGGGATCCTCGGCGCATGTGGGGTACCTTTTTCAACATTTGGTATGGCAATGGACCCATATTTTAGGATTTGGTATGGGAATGCCCGGAAATTTCTGACTTCTGAGGTATGGCAATGGTCGGACTTTTGCTCTTCTGGTATGAGAATGGTCGTTGTCATAGGCGTAGCGCCCAGTACGCTGGGTACGCACAGGCGTACCAGATGGTTGCAAATTCGCTCCAAATACAATCAAATTTTAAAATTTTCCTGGGAGTAAACCCCCAGACCCCCCTAAAACGCTGTTTTTTGCTTCGCTCAACTCTTGTTCCCGCGGTGGTGAACAACTTAGAAATATAGCGCTACGCCCATGGTTGTAGATACGTTACCTAACATTCGTGGTATGGCATTGGTCCAGTAGTTGCAAATTTGTATGACATTGATCCTATATTTCATTTACTTTGAATTAAGGTATGGCATTGGTCCCATATTTGGACATTTGGTATGGCATTGGTCCTACATTTTGACATTTGGTATGGCATTGGTCCCATAATTGGGCATTTGGTATGGCATTGGTCCTATATTTGGACATTTGGTATGGCCTTTGGGCGTTATTTTGGTTGGTATGGGGACATATTGAAATTTGACAGATTGGTATGGGAACCCCCGTCGAGTTTTATATACAGTGAACCCCGGGTCTGTCCAATACAAGAAAAGATAATTCAGTTTTTGTGATTTTGTAACATGGGGTCTATGGGGAATCAACCCGAACAAGAAGTCACATTTTCAAAAAAATTTAAAGTTTCAAAGTTGATAGACAATTTTCGAAACCATATTTCTAGATGTACTTTTACATGCAGGTTTCGAATATAACATCACTTCGACTGAATTTTGAATATTTAATGACTTAAATCAAGATTATTTCTACTCGCATCTGGTCTATAAGTTATCAACAGGTAAATGATTGACATTGCTGAAGTGGTAGCTAAAACAATGTTCTTGCAAATATGTATCTTTAGTTACTGAATCATATATATTTTACCTTTTTTTTATATTTGCAATGAGTAGTTTGTATTCTCTCCAGATTGAAGCTAAATGTTTTGAAAAATCAAAATATATGAATGTAAATTTTGTGAATTGTAACAATAGTATGAAATTCATTTGTACGATTTTTGTCTTCTAGCTCCAAGATGCACATTTTTAACAATACAGAACCTTAATGACCTTACGTTGTTGACTTAATTGTTGTAGTTTGTTTGGTAACAATCTGTAGTAGAAAGGAGTGCATGAATAAGACAAAGACACAGCTTGAAAAGAAGTCGCCAAATTAGAATACTAAATTTCTAGGCAACGTTATACAGTATACTAATAAATCTGAATTAAGAAAAATGGATAATTTAGGACAAAATGCTGATGAAAAATGATAGGAATAAAAGAAAGTAAAATCTTGGAAGAATAATACAAGTTAAAGTTGCGGATTTCAAGATACAGGGATAATTCAGTAAAGCGATTGTTAGAATAATTCTGATATGGTATATCATACACTTATAAATATTTCAGAATTCAGAATCAATATAGTTAGTTTGAAATTGTGCACACAGCTTGTTATGTTTTCAAGTACTTAGGTTGTCATATTGGACTGATAGCGTATATATACTTGTAGCTACAATGCTAAATAGTCTCATACATGATAAAAAATATACATGTAATAAGTATAGACGAGAAACTAGTGACCAGCTTTTGCCATGGGGTAGAGGGAGTCAATTTTGAAAATTCTTGGGGGGGGGTAAATTTTGGACTAAAATCACCTGTATAGGGCTCGAAATGGTAAAAAACTGCATGGTTTTGAAAGAATTTTGGGCCAAAGGAGGTTCTACAGGCCTGCCTTATGGGGTCAGGTATATAATGCAATATTGAAATAATATCTTGGGAGAGTGGGATGTTCTATAGCTCCCATTGCATTTTGAAGAATAACATACGAGAGAAAATTAGTTAATTGCCTTACTTAGGCGTAGGCGTTTTAGGGGTTGCTTATGCCACGATCGCATCCCCCCCCCCCCCCATTGAAAACTGAATTTTTT